CAGATTTGAAAGAATGTAAGAGACATGCTGGTGGTGACTTCATCCCTCCAGCCCTTCCCCTCCATTTCAGGCTTGAACCGGTAAGATGAACAAGGGTCCTCTGAATGTATTAGGGCATTTCTTCCCCCGTGGATGCCAGGGACTCTCCCTGCATTGCTGATTGAGTGCCCACTGGGCATTTCCCTTCTCGGCTGGGTGTCTTCATCAGTAGGACATGATCTGTGCCCAGCACTATATTTGAGGCTGACTTTGTCATTTCTCCTTGGTTTATTAGCACCCTTTCTCTGGTACAGTCCATCGCCACCTAGTGGCCACAGGTAAGACTGCATCACAGAAACTAGATGAATGCTATGGGGGTATTTTGTGTAGGATCTGAACACTGTATCTTTCTGCTCCTGAAGTGCAGGGTTTAAGGCTGTAGAACAAACAAAGGAACATCACTTGCTTTTCTTACAGTTAAGCAGTGGCACTAAGTTTAAAATGCCACACGCAGATTGGGAAATGCCTGTCCCCAAGCATTAGGAGTTGCTGATGGTGATGGGGAAGAGTGAATAGAACTGAGATACTTAGGAGGCAAAACAGACACACTTGGGAAGGACACTGTGCTACCAGGGGCAACACTTTGGTGTGTGACTTTGACTTATGTGGCAAGACAAATGGTGGCGCTCTTTGCCAAACTGGGGATGCAGGAAGAGGTCCTTGGTTGGCCCTTTTTTGAGAGGGTAGGAGAGGAGAGAGAGTTTGGTTTAGAGAGTGGTAAGTGTACCTGAGAATGGGAGTTGTGGCAAAGCTGCAGTCTTGGGGACTCATGTCCACCTCTCAGCCCTCACTGTGGGCCAACAGGCCATTCTTGTCGAAAATACTTACCTTAGCAGTTGGGCTTCAATAACTGTAATCAGTTTCTAAATCCAGGGAGATGTGACCAAGGAGTAGAAAATTTTATGGATAGTTATATACAGTTCTGGCAACTTTAGAGGTCAAAGAAAGGTAATAGATGCACTGAAATAAATGTAATGGTAAGGTTACCTCAAGTCCTTCATCATGGTGTGTTTGTGTGTGCACATGGATGTTAAATTTTCCCCAAGGAGAAAATGGGAATGGTTTGACTTGTGGTACCGAGGTAAAGCTTGTGTAACTGAAGGTAGATCCTAACTTAAAAAAAAAAAGTATCAACCTTCTTTTACTGAAAAAAGAATTGGTACTTAGGTTAAATTCTCTTAACACTCTGTGCAGATGAGTATCCGGGGAAGCAAGAGCATGGCATCTGCAGGAAGAGAAGGGCACTTCCCTTTGTTCCCCTAGTCGCAGACACCTTTGAGAGCGGTCCCTCAAGACCCAGACTTCTAGCTGCTTCTGTGTCCCTTAGCTGCCTGGTCTCCTCACCCAGAAGAGACTTAATTCTGTAAGGCAAATACTTTTCCTCCCCAGAAGCTGCCAGTTACGACTCCTGTCTGTCCTGGCCGGCATTCTGCCTTTCTAGCAACAGATGTTTCTGCACAGTAAATATCATTGACCTTTGGCGCCTTGGTGTATCTTGCACTGAACATGAAACAGTGGGGTTATATGAGCAGGGTGTCATGAAGCTTGGCATGCACTCAGTGCTGGTACCAGCCTCTCTGCTTTCTCCACTCCTCTTACTGGTGTGTGCATGTTAGATTCCTGTTGCATCACAGTGAAAGCTCCAGAAAGAGATCCCCCTGTAGCTGCATGGCAGAGTTGACCGCCTCCATAAGATTCTACCAGTCGTTTTGGGTTGAAGTAGACAAGAATCTGTGTTTTAGGTGATCTTTTTAAAGGGTGTCTTCTCCATTGTCCCAAGTAACAGAGAGGGTTTTATCTTAACAGGGTGAGGCATCATGGTGTATCCACATGCTACAAGGATCTTGGGTCCCAGGAGCTGATAGCGTCCTAGATCCCCACGTTTGAGCTGTGTGCTCTTATGTCACTCCTCTAACTCAGCTGAGTTCTCAACACAGGTAGTCCTGCTTACCATCATTGCAGGATTCACACGTTAGGGAAGAATAGCCCAGCCTTGCCTAGAACTGAAGCTTACAGTGTACGGAGTGCTTGTGTAGTGTATCTCCCTGGGTCTCCTGACAATCTAATGGGTTAGGTGGGGCTGACAACTTATGTCAGGCGAGGTGACCAAGAAGTTAGGCCTAACCTAGGTTACTTACACTTCTAGGAAATGGTGGAGCTGAAATTTGAACACAGGAGCCAGGTGAGGTTGGGGTGAGGGCAAGGGGCTGGGAAGGGGCTGATCAGCCTACAACCAGGACCCCATGCAAGGCAGGTATAAAGGGGGAGGTTCTTCAAAGCAAGCTTAAGGGATACCTGGGTGGCTCAGTCAGTTAAGTGTCTGCCTTTGGCTCAGGTCGTGATCCCGGGGTCCTGGGATTGAGTCCCACATTGGGCTCCTTGCTCAGCGGGGAGCCTGCTTCTCCCTCTCCCTGCCTCTCCCCCTGCTTGTGCTGTCTCTCTGATAAATAAATAAATAAAATCTTAAAAAAAAAAAATAAAACAAAGCAAGCTTGAGCTGCTGATCCAAAGACTGGGGAGTGGATGCTGAACAAGCAAAATACCCAGTGTCCCCCTATACCTTTACCAATATTTCTCTCTCAGGCATGAGCCATTCAAGCCCATGGTGAATTTCTTTTCAGATTCCAATAATTGGGATTTTTAGTCTGTCTAGCTATGCTCACTGGCCTACAACCCAGCATGGACTCCAGTACTCACTACCTAATTCTTTTGTCAAGGGGAGAGGCCTCCTTATCAGCTTTGTGGGGCCCACATGGCTTCTCAGGTTTGTGTTGTGGTGGGGTGTCCCTTTCGACAACGAAATAAAGTTACTTTCTGGTCATAAGCTAATAGGCCCTGCTCCAGGTTAAATGGGTCCTCCTATGAAAAGGCCCCACAAAGGCCCCGTTGTGCATTATTAGCCACTCCTGGATCCTCACTGAGAGCTGCTCCTGGCAGCACAGCTTCTCGGGTGCGTGTTGGGAGGTTTCCCAAGCCTGCCTTATGTTTCACCTTTCTTCCACTGTGTGGAGATGCTTGTCCAGCTCGAGTCTTTCTTGCCAAGGGGGGAGGCATAGAGGATTGTTAGGTGGATAGAGAAGCAACTCTAGTCTTACTCTTGGCTCAAGCCTTTCTTTGTGAGTTCTGATCAGAAGACATTCTGACTACAATGAGACTGAGCACAGCCGTGCCCTCATTCTATACCTGATACTCTTTGGCCTTCTTGGGGACTTTGTCTTCCACTCTGAAAGGTGATTCTTCCTTTATCTTATCCTGCCTGTGGCCTGCTGTCTTTCCTCCCCACAGTGTTCTGACTTTGAGATGAATCAGTTTCTTTATTGACTTGCCAGGGAGTGATTTGTATTCTTAGGGAGATCCTCAGCGTGGGTCGGCCAGTTTTAGGAGACGGCTGATTCCTTTGCCAGCATCTTTGGACTTTTTGCCAAGGACCATTGCATTAAAGTGACTGAACCAGGGAGAGACCAGAGACTATTGGCTGGTGGCTCCTGGGTTCTTCTTCTCCACTTCAAGTGTCTTCCTCTTTTGGTGTAGAGCAGAGGGCCTTGCATAAGCCATGCTATCTTGGGATTCATGTCATCTGAGCCTGTAGGAGGGTGGTCTCTGAGCAGGAGCCCCTGCTGTCTGTGTGGTAACCCTGAGCCCCAGACCTGAGAGCAGAAGGACTGCTTAGCTGGGCTCTTCCACGGCAGCTGCTGCTTGGAATAAGCTCTGGGATCGGCGAACTGCACGCCAGTGGTTGAACTTGTACACACCCCTCCACACATACATTATTCAGCATGCACTGAGCAGGATGTACTGCCAGGTACACAGAGAGGAAACAAATAAAACCAAAAGGTGGAAAAAAAAACATGACCCCTCACTTTAAGGAACAGATCTGGGAACTAAAAAAGAGAAGAGCAGAAGACCATGGATGCTTTTGTTCCATTAGATTATGTTGATCTGTGAAGCCAGAATCCTCCCAACCTCCTCCCCCTATCTCATTAAAGCCAGTGCAGGTTGCCAGTTATGCCTCCTATTTCCCTCCTCTGGGAATTTGGACATAATACCATTTCCCCTTCAATAAGGGAAACATCTATGAGGGTAATTTGAATGATTAGCCTAATCTGCAGGAAGGCTGCACATGGAATTAAGTTAAGCACATTTGTACTGAGCAGCTGTGTCTGTCAGGCCACTTAAAGGTACCTGGGTAGTTTTATACCCTTAACAGAAGCTGAGGGTTCAGGAGGGATCATTCGCTTTTAATACTGCCTTAGATGAAAGCTTATTTTTTAAATTTGACAAGGGTTTCCAAAAGCTTTCTTTATAGATAACATACGTGGGGTGTGTTTTTACCCCAACTCAGAACATTGCCAGGGCTTTGTTCTTGTGGCAGCGGGAACGCGATGACCCAGGGAAATGGTTCAGACAGAAATTTGTCAAGCTGGCTGGTCACTCTCCTCATGAGGGAAACTGAGAGGGTTGTGAGAACTCGGCCTCACGTGTGCTTGAGTTAGAATAAAGAATCCGGGAGCTCCTGTGTCGTGGGAATGGGGCACTTCCATACCTTTTCTTCCCGCTCCCTACCTAATGCCGGACCACATGGGAGGTACCGGGCAGGGCTGATTACGTGGGAGGTCCGTGGCAGGGCTGACCCACAGGGTTATGGATACTGAGATCTGCTCTGACCCACGCTTTCTCCTGGATTCCCACCTGTGACAAACGTACATGACAGGACTCACTGTGTGGCTTAAGGAATTAGAACTGGGACCGAAATGGTTAAAGCAAAGAAACAGAAATAGTAATTTTTCAAGTGAGTCAGAATTTCAGGTTAGAAACAGCTGTTCAGTATTTTGAATTTATGTTGTGTTTGAAATAGCCTCAGGAACAAATCTAGCTTCTACATTAGTAGGACTAAAACGTTCAGCAAATATGAAAATCAATTTACGTCAGTAATTCATATTTTTTACTCTTTTTCTTGCTAGATTTGTCTTTGGCGAAGAGGAAATTTGCCGATTCCTTAAATGAATTTAAATTTCAGTGCATAGGAGATGCAGAAACAGATGATGAAATGTGTATAGGTAAGTCTTAACCGTGTGTCTGATGAGTCACTGTTTATCATAACTGTCAGTGTCCTTGCTGAGCCTTTTTCCTGTGATAGGAAGTATCTAAGTGTCATAAATTAAGTCCACACCAACAGTGGATGGGGCAGAGTGAAGTGAGGGGCTATTCTGGGCTTTTCCTCAGAGTTCTGAGACTGCCTCTGTCACCCTTGGGCCTGTAGGAGGCAGCTTGAAGGTTTGCAGTGGAGTTCTTCTCTCCAGCCTCCTGTAAGGTTTTGCTTCTGGCTGTTTTTGTGACTTTTCTTTGCCCAGGTACTACAGAACTGAGAGCAAGAACAGAAGACAGGTAGATGAGGGAAGAATTACAGGTTGCAAATGATAGTTTGTGGGCTGAAATCAGAATACAACCACCATGTTTTCTTTGGCACTCATTTTTTAAAATTGAGTTAACATATAAATTGAATTTGTGTAAAGTTCTGGTTTTCCATCTCTTTGAAAATCAGAGGATCTGATCAGCTGGCCCCACATTCAGGCCTGGCAGTTGTCAGCTGGAGCTACGTTGCTGCGGCTGCCTTCAGATGGACAGAAGAGCTTGGTGTCCAGCTCCCCTCTGCCTTTCCTTAACCAGAGGCTGAGGGTGGGGTTACTGTTGATTGCTGTGCTGCTTTTCTTTTCACTATTACCTTCTGTCTCTTGTAGGCAATGCTGAGCACAGAGGATTTGCAGTGTCGAGACACCTGTGTCTGGCAGGGTCTAGTCATTGCCCTTGACTCTTCATACATTGGGCATCTTGGTTAGCTCCAGGGGTGAGCAAGGATTGAAAAAGTTGTCAAATGCTTATTGAATCCCTGTTGTTACACAGAGTGCCAGGATCTGGGGGTGAGGGAAGGCAGCTGGGAGATAGCTGAGAGCAATGAAAATGCATCACTGTAGTTAACCCCTGGAGCTCCCCAACATTACATGTATGTCCTGAATATCCTCAGGGCTACTGGACTTACTGCCTTTTGCCTTTGGGAATAATTCTAGTGGGGACTCTCCGTGTCTGACCACCATGCTGCAGGCTGCATTATATTAATAAGTGGCTGGATGTGGCTTCTGTTGCGAGCTATATTGGTGTAGTTGTGATACCAGAGGAAAGGTTGATTTCTGACGCAGTCCCACAGCCACGGTTGAGGAGGTCAAATCCTGGGCAGGAAATCCTTCAACTTCCAAGCAGAACTCTGCCCTTTTCAGCCTATGGTCTGGAAGCTGGCCAGCACCTCATCAGTCCTGGGTAGTCTCAGGAACAGGCAAGTCATTGAAGGAAATCCTTTCCCAGCTAGAGTGCCAGGTGAAATTAACCTGCATTCGGGGGTCATCCTGGATGGTTAATGATTAAGAGATAAGGGGAGTCTTGGGAAGCAATTGACTTTAGGATTCTGCATGTGTCAAGGGATTTCAGTCCATAACATAATAGCTGTACCTGGAAAGGCTCCCAAAGGCCCATTTCTCTGTCCCTTTCATGGTACTTTCTCTTTTCCAGCAAGGTCTTTGCAGGAGTTTGCCACTGTCCTCAGGAATCTTGAAGATGAGCGGATACGGATGGTGAGTACGGCTGGGCTGCTCTTGCTCCCATACAGTGTGGTCATGTCAAGAGATTTGTTGTCAGAAGAACTGGGTTCGAGTCCAGCCTCTACCACTTGAGTGTTTTGAACTCTTTTTTTTTTTTTTTTAAAGATTTTATTTATTTATTTGAGAGAGAGAGAATGAGAGAGAGAGAACACATAAGAGGGGATAGGGTGAGAGGACAAAGCAGACTCCCTGCCGAGCAGGGAGCCCAACGCGGGACTCGATCCAGGGACTCCAGGATCATGACCTGAGCCGAAAGCAGTCGCTTAACCAACTGAGCCACCCAGGTGCCCGAGTGTTTTGAACTCTTGAGCAAGCCTCATCTTCTCATCTTTGCAAGGGTTGGAAACATTTCGCAAATGTTAAGGGATTACTGTTGATAACATTAGAGCCACGTTGTTTGCCTCCCAAAGATTCACTGTAAGGTGCACCCGTAAGGTATGACTTATGGGTGGATCTTTTGAATTACTTAACTTTGGGGGCCTCCGATTCCCTACAGGCAGAGTGGGAATGAAGGTGTCATACTCTGCTCCCTGCTTTCCTCATTTTAGTAAACTTACCCAAGAGCTTTTGAAGGGCACTCCTTCACTCTTTATTCGGAAACGCCTAACCCAGTGCCTGCCCTCTAGTATGCACCCAGTAAGTGGGCATGTAGTAAATGATGATAATTATAAGAGGTTCTTCAAAGGGAGGCACTGTGCAAAATCAAGAATCAAATGCTGATCCTCAGGTTCTTAAAAAATACCTTCTGTATTCTAATGCTGACGTGGCGGAGCATCAACAGATGAGGGATTCCGCATTCACAAGTTCTTTTGCATCCTCTTCTTATCCCTGAGATACCAAGAATGAAGGCTGATTTGAAATCCCCCTGCTGGCTGCATGCTGATTTGTCCCCAGGAAGGCTTGTCCCTAAGCTAATGGTGCTACAGGGGCCTAGGAAGAGTCTATCAATGATTTTTCCTCTCTTCCCATGCTAAAACTGATCATTTGAGACTAAGTCTACTGTCTTAATCTGCTTAGACTGCCATACCAAAATACCGTGGGCTGGATGGCTTACACAACAAATATTGATTTCTTACAGTTGTGGAGACTGGGTAGTCCAAGATCAAGGAACCAACTGATTTGGTTCCTGGTGAGGACCCTTTTCCTGGCTTGCACATGGCCACCTTCTTGCTGTGTCCTTAAATGGGAGAGAAAGGGGGCAGAATGGCTCTTCAGTCTTGGCTTAGAAGGGCATTAATCCCATTGTGAGGATTCTACCCTGATGACCTAATTATCTTCCCAAGGCTTCATCTCCAGATAGTGTCATGCTGGGGGTATTAAATGATAAAATGAGACATATCTTTAAAACTTTATTTGAACAAAAATTGGTTCAGATTGGATAGTACCAAACTGGAAATCTTTAGGAAAGCTCTACTAACAGAACTATAGGGCAAAGACTTTTACAGAGAACATTTGGAAGTAGCAAGGAAATTACTTGATTGGCTGTTGCCTTATTTGGGAAAGCCTAGTTGTTTCCATTTCTTAACCTTGAGGGATTTACAGCCTTGGGTTTTGGTCGGCTTATGTAGGCTGCTAGAGCATTAGAGCCACCTACGTCTAATGGCCTCTTTGTTTAATTAATAGAGGTTAGGGCTTCCCCATATAAATTTTGAGGAGATGCTGCTTAGTCCATAGCCTCGACCAAGATATTACGTATGCACACATTTTAAATTTTAACCCATATGGTGACTCGGCGAGGTGGTACCTATATCATCCCAGTGTCTAGATAAAGATATTGAGGTTTAGAATGGTTAATTAACATGCCCAAGATCACATAGTTAAAAAGTATCACAGTCTGGATTCAAACCCAAATATGTATTAAACCAAAGAATGGGGGAATTTCTTTGAAATTCTCAACAGAGCAGAAGCTCTCACCTGCCCTGCACAGAGAGACAGAAATAGTGTCTATTTTCCTTGATTGCTCATTTTTGGGTGCTTGAAGCAGAATCAGGAGGCTGGTGGCTGCAGCAGGGTTGGTGGTGGGTGGAAGCAGGGGGAAGCTTGTGTGTTTGTGCACGTGCTACTACCCAAGAAAGGGAAGTGATTTTTTTGAGTCTGATTCTTGGCCGAGTCAGTATTTGTGGGTGGGGGGTGTGGTAAGCAAATCATGCTGAATACCCTACAGATTGCTATGGCCCGTGGTAAGAGAACAATGACTGGATTATACTCTTCAGCTTGCCTCTGCAATTTTATTATTAATGTCAGTGAACTGAGTTTCTGCTGTGTGCGTCTAAGTATCTAGCCATTGTAGGCCTCTTCCCTGCCTCCTCATCCTCATCAATTCAGCTCAGCTTTGCAAAACCACACCTTTTTGGGAGGCCTTCTCTGACTCCCTGGGATATTTGGCCAAGCTTTGTATTTCTTAGTATCCCGTTCATGTCTCTGATTCTCCATTCACCGCATTGTGTCTGATAATCATTTCATGTGTCTGACCCATCAGTATAGTGCTTGGAATTGAGTGGAAATTACACAGTCCTAGAATCTTAGACCCAGAACAACCTTATTTCTCACTGTAGTCTTTCATTGGCCACATGGGAAAACTGAGGTCTTGTGAAGGCAAATAGCAAGCAGTAGAAGGACTGGGACAGGGTCTTGGGCATCCTCGTTCCCAGGTGAGTAGTTACTGCTTTTGTGTATTTAGCATCTCCTTAAGGCTAGATTCTCAATCATGGATGCCCATTGGAACAACTTGGGAAGTTTAAAATATACTGATGCCTGGGATGAAGTACAGAGATTCTGATTTTATTGGTTTGAAGTGTAGCCTGGACATTAGAATTTTGAGAAGCTTCCCAGGTGAGCTTGACATGCAGCTTAGGCTGAGAATCAGTGGCTTAGGGGCTCAGCACACCACTGTGAGCTTCGGAGACTTATCCTTGATTTGTGGAAGACTTAAACAAGTGAGCCCATTAAGCAACATCAAATAATAATAAAAATCAAACAAGTTAAACATTGCAACCCTCATGTTAAAATGCTCTCTTCCTAGATAAGTGCTCTCAAAATTAAGAAAAAAGCAAATGGCAATGAATTTGGAGACGTGCCACCTTTTATTCCTTCCATTGCTCAGTTAGTTCTTGGCTGTGTCCATCTTTGGCTTCTGGCATTTACTCTGTTGGTTTCATTGTGATGTATATGCATGTGATTTAGAAAAATAATGCTTTGTTGTATCAAGATTCCTGAAATAATTAGTTGAGCGACAAGTGAGCAGTGTGAATGACTTAAAAGGAAAGATTGTAAAATATTTTACTCCCTTAGAATAGACCATAGAATCTTAGAGCTGGAACAATCCAGCCTACTCATTTGGCAGATGAGGAAATTAGAGCCCAGAGAGGTTAAATACTTTGCCTATGGTCACACAGTTGGCAGCTAGTCAAGAAATCATTCATTAATTCATTTAGTCATTGAAAAATATTTGAGTGCTTCTTTGTTTCAGCACTCCTCTGTGTTTGGGGGAAAATGGTAGGCAAGTGAACATTTATAAGATGTGTGTGTGTGTTTATAGTGGTGAATTAGAAAACTTTAGCTGGCTTACATCTTCTGAAGAAAACACTTTGATGGGGTTGCGAGAAGTTTCTTTGGAGTATGCTGGTCATCATGGAAGGCTTTCTTAAAGAGGTGACCTTTAAGCCAAGACCTCAATTAGAATAAGAAATGAGTCATCCATGAGAACATTTGGGGAGGGAATGTCCAGATGCAAAAGCCTGGTAATGGGACAAGTTTTGTGCATTTGAGGTGCATGGGGGTGATGATATGGTTGGCATATAGGACCTGATGGAGTGAGTGGTGGGGATGAAGTTGAGAGTCAGCCAGTGGTCTGGAGGCACAGATGTCCTGATTCTAGTCCAGTTCTGGTAGGAATACATGAAGTCAGGCTTGGCAGGTTTTCATGCCACCTCATGTCCAAAGGTGTTTCTTGTTCTTAACCTAGACTCAGTGTTGATCTACCTAAAATATTTCTACTTAAATATAGTTTGGGTGAGTGGGCATTCACAAGATGTACCTGAAGCTGAAATTTAGATCCTATCCTGTCACCAGTTCCCCTCTGCCTTTACATGGTCGCTTACGTTTTTAGAAGTACTTGTTTTTATTATTTTTATTATTTTTAAGATTTTATTCATTAGAGCAAGCTATCAAGAGCAAAGCAGGGGGGAGGGTCAGAGGGAGAGGGAGAAGCAAATTTCCTGCTGAGCAGGGAGCCCGGTGCAGGGCTCTATCCCAGGTCCTGGGGATCACACCCTGAGCTTAAATCAAGAGTCAGACGCTTAACTGACCGAGCCACCAGGGCCCTGCTTACTCAAATTTTAAAGTGAGACACAGGGAGGCATTTTGTGCCAGAACTGCTAGAATTCTTAACTGATACTTGCTTTTATGTGTATGAGTCTAGCCCACTCCCCTGCCTTGGTTTTCCTCACCAGATTGAGAATGCCAGCGAGGTGCTCATCACTCCCTTGGAGAAGTTTCGAAAGGAGCAGATTGGGGCTGCCAAGGTGAGAATTACTCAAACCTTGTTCTTGGATTCTAGGGCATCCTTGTGTTTGGATTTCATGTAGTGGCTCATCTGTTACTCACAGGTGTCTGAAGTAAGATTGAGTGGTCAACCTCAGAGCAGTCATTCTAGTATTTTGTTACCTAATCGTTTTGTGCTAGTTCATAAATCATGCAAAGGTAGAAACCATGCCTCCTTGTGTTAATAGATACATCTGTGCTTGGACAAGGTAGAATTGTACTTACTGCAGAGGTCCAGGGCTCAGAGCATAGACCAGGAGGTTGCAAACTGGGCCCTGAGGGCCTGGCAACCCTGTTCTGAGCTCATTTTTGCTGAGTGAAAATGCACCCTTTGTTGCCAGATTTTGAAATTTTTCAAGAGGAACTGAGAAGTCAGAGTTTTCTTTGAAATTTCCTGGTTTAAAAAGATGTTAGCAAATAATTTAAAAATACACATTCTACATGGTGCAGGTCAAAAAGCAGGACTGCTTCAACTTCTAGGTCCCGGTTTGTTACCACTGACCGGGAGGGACTGCAGCTGAAATGTGGCTGACTCGCTGGTGAAATTTCCCTGAAAAGGGTGCAAAGGGGATCTTATTCATTTTTGAAAGACTGACTCTCCAGGGTTCCCCTGCCTTGTGAGAAGTCACTAGGAAACCCTCCCTGGTTGGCTGTTAGTAGGCTGTTAGAGGCCACCTGCAGAGAAGGTGTTTGCACTGGGATCAGTGAAAGCAGAGGGATTTTTGAGATTTTTCTTCCTATTTTCCTGGAACTGTGAGTCCTTCAGCTGCAGTCCTTTGTGCCATCTGCAGGGAGCTTTGGGCAGCATCGCTCTGACATGTTTAGATTTTACTCAGCTTTCAAATGGTCTTGAGAGGTAGGTACCTGTAGGTGGGAAAAAGGTAACTGCAATGTAATGCAGTGGGATCTGTCTCCCAACCCCATGTCCCCACCTAAGCACATGGGCTTCTGAAAATGAATATGGTTAGGGTCTGAAAAAGATGATGTGCTGTTCAGTGAGGGTTCTTCAGAGGGATGGTTGACTGTAGTTTGAAGGACGGACCATAGCAAAGATTTTTTTTCCAGTTCTAAAGCACTTTCTGCCAATTTTACACTTTATATTTATGAAGAAATTAGACCCCATGGGTTTTTGTTTTTTTTTAAAAGATTTTATTTATTTATTTGAGAGAGAGAGAATGAGAGAGAGCACATGAGAGGGGGGAGGGCCAGAGGGAGAAGCAGACTCCCTGCCGAGCAGGGAGCCCGATGCGGGACTCGATCCCAGGACTCCAGGATCATGACCTGAGCCGAAGGCAGTCGCTTAACCAACTGAGCCACCCAGGCGCCCCGACCCCATGGGTTTTGTATCAGAGATTAAGGAATGTAAAATTAAAAGGGAGTCTTGTTCCACTAAGAGTTTGTCCAACACTTTGAATTTGCCATGAGTGTCCCTCCTCAAGTTCTCCTATTTGTAGGCCCAGGGAGCAGACCTTCACTTTAGTGGCCTCGGGACCTGTGCTTCCTCCTCGTGGTAACATACGGCAGTGGCTCTGGACATTCTGAGGAGCTTGGAGGCAGCAGCAGAGCAGACAGACCTCCTTATCGAGCGAGTCCCCTTTCTGAGAGTCTTTTCTGCTTCTGGCCTCAGCTGCTTCACACTCTGGCCTCTTCCCTCAGCCCTGGTTTCGGGCATTCTCAGAGTTGCCACGGGGGAAGAACAGAAGTCTGAGTGGGCTCGTTTGGGGTAATACCAGTGATCGTAATGACAGGAGCAGGTACTCTTCTGGGGGTGGGGTGGGGGTGGGGCTATAGAAGGCGAGAAGTAGGAGTATGAAAGAATTTGATTAAAATCATCACTCATCAAAACATGTTGCCTCTCGTACATACTCTGATCTCTCATTCCTCTTGAACAGTGTGATGATGTTCGGGATGATTTTTCCTCGTTCTTCCTGTGTCATTTCCTTTTTTCACTGTACTTGTTCCCCCCCTTCCCCCTACACACACACATTTATATCCTAGTATTGTCTACATTTAAGAGAAAGCAAAGAAACAAACTCTTCACCAGGCAGTCTAGGCAGCAGACTAAAGAATACCTAAGAGCCAGCCAGGGCTCTTGAGCAGCCAAGTGGAAGTTTCTGAACTCGGCCTGTGTGGTGCTAAAATTACCCTTCCTCCCACTGTGGTGTGGCTTTGGTTGCTCTAACAACCTGTTGCTACTTGCAAGAAGCAGAAGTTAGTGTTGGGGGTGGAGGCTGCCAGGGAGGAGGACTCCCTGGGCATTCTGATGCTAGTGTACCTGCCCTGTGGTAGGGCGCGACCCTGGAGCTTGGCGTAACTGTGGCCCTAGGTTCAGAATTCTGAGTTTAGGGGAACTCGTTTTTCCTCCAGCCAAGGTGCATTTGGAGAGCCAGGCTCTACAGTGAAAGTAAAGGAGAAGTTAGTGGTCAAGACGGGGCCCCAACCTCACTTGTGCCACTGGCATGCCAAGTTGGGGAGTAGCCAAACCTCTCCGTACCTGTTTCCCGATCTGTAGGCTGGGGCCAGCGATAATATTGATCTCGTAGAGTTCTTATGAGAAAGACATGAGTAAATGCATATAAAGTGCTTAGAACAGTATTTGTCATATAGTCTTTTTATGTTAGCTGTTAGACTCCATACATACAGTTCATTCATTTTATTTATTATTATTTTTTTTAATGTTTTTTTTTTTTTTTAAAGATTTTATTTATTTATTTGACAGAGAGAGACATAGCGAGAGCAGGAACACAAGCCGGGGGAGCGGGAGAGGGAGAAGCAGGCTTCCCGCAGAGCAGGGAGCCCAATGTGGGACTCGATCCCAGGACCCTGGGATCATGACCCGAGCCGAAGGCAGATGCTTAACGACTGAGCCACCCAGGCGCCCCAGTTCATTCATTTAAAAAAATCTGTGAGTGCCTGCTCTGCGTCTGGCACCATGCTACACACTGGTTTATGGTGGCGAGCAAGTGAAGATGTACTGTGCTCGTGGTGTGGCTCGGGAGAACGACGTGAAACAAAAAGATGTAAATAAACATCATTTCAAATTGTGGTGAGTGCTCTGAAGGCTTCCCTTCATGGGACACTGGGCATGGGAAGGAAGTGGTGTTCTCAGTCAGGAGGAGGTGTGTTCAGATGATGGGCCTCTTGACCACTATCACTGCAATGGCTGCCGTCATCACGACTGCCATCTCACCATCATTACTGAATTTTATTGTGCATTTTCTGTGTGCTGGGCCCTCTGCTAAGCACGGTCTATGGTTTAGCTCATTTTATCCTAATAGGCCTATGAGGAGGTGGTTGTTTTTATTCTTTGTTAGATACTCTCTGAGCTGAAAGAGGAAGGAACCTAAGCAGTCACCTCATGGAGTCCTCCTCAGTTTAATAGATGAGGGAACCCAGTTCTGGAGTGGGGCAGTGATTTGTTTAGAATCAGTCCATGGAGAATTGGGAATCATTTCCAGAATCCTAATTCTGTCCTTTGTCCGTTTAGGCGCCCACAGTGGATTCCCTGGAAGGCGAGCACCATGTCGTACCTGAGTAGAGAATTTAAACCATTAACACCACCCTCCCGACTTAAGAACATTATCTAAATCTTAGTAGAGTTATCCCCTGAGGTCTTGTTTCTCAGGACAGAAACTGCTTCCCTTTCTCTTTAGCTCTGGCTATCCTCTTGAACATGGAATGTGGCAGCTCGAGTTGCCAGAAAGTCACAGAATGCCTTTGACTCATGTTAGCTGGCCTTTTCTCACCTCTGGCCAGCTGGGCTATTCCAGCACAGGGTTCTCCTTGGGGCTTGCTGACAGGCTGCTGGAGTGGATCTGTGAGCATCAAGTGGAGTTGGGGCCCTAGCTCAAAGTTGCTGTTTTTATAAAGGAAAGAGTTGCTTGAGTCAAGTGTCTAGCCTGTACCCTTCCTCAAATTTGAAGGAGTAATGTCTCCTCAGGCTTTTCCCTCACTTGCTTCTGCATGTTGAGCTGTCCTTGTATATAAGTAGTCTTTCAAGCAAAATTCAGGTTCGTAGAAATGGATACGTGTCAGCTAAAAAGGGTATGTAATGATTCCGTCCACTTTGAGAGGCTTAGAATTTTGCTGTTGACCAGATAAATGGAGTTCTGACGTGGCTGGAGATTGTCAGAGCTTCAGGTGAGAGCTGCTTGGTGATTCCTGTCCCCTGCGCCACTTAGGCTTCCCAGTGTTAAGCCCAGAGCATTTGTACTTACTGCTCTTGTGCTCTAGAAGGGTCCACCCTATCCCTCACATGATTAGCAGGTCTTACTTAGCTCATACTCCCTCCCCAGTGAGGCCTCTCTTGAGTACCCTCTCTGTGGAATCTCTGACTGCACCTTATTTCCTTCATAGCACTTGTGGCTGTCTATAATTATTTGTTTCCTGGTTACTTGTGTTTGTCCTACTAGAACATCACCACCATGAGGCTCGGCACCACTTCTGCCTTGTCCAGTGGCCAAAGGAGCCTGATACAGAGTGGTTACTTGTTACATCTGTGTGAAACGAATGGAGATGTCTCTGAGCTTCCTTATCTGGCTGCAAAAATTTTTTCTCCTCTTGGAGGCCTTGGAAGTGCAGAAAAATAGTTCCTGTGGGTTCCACCTGAGTCAGGAGTAAGACTGATGGGCTCACTTAGTGAAATTGATCGTGTTCATTAGGCCACTGTCCACTGTCTTCCAGCCCCCTTGCTTGCCATCCCCACTAGAAAGTGGATGGAAAAGAGAGACCTCCTGTGAACATATGTCTCAGGTGCGATTGAGAGTTGGGCTTTGGAGGCAGCCTCCCTAGCCTCAAATTCCAGCTCTGTCACTCTCTGTGACTTTTTACAAGTTAACCTCCCTAGGTCCAAGTTTTCTTATCTGTAAAATGGGAGATAAAAGTAGAATCTCAATGACTCAGTGACTTGGTGGGAAAGCAGGGATTATTAAGTGTATTATAATATTTATGTTATTTTTCATTTTGAAAAAAGCTGTTAATGTGGGATAATAAAAATTTCCCAAACATGGGAAGAAAATCACCCCTTATCCCATTTCCTTAACTCGATTATTCTCATTTATTTTTCCATTTAATCTTTGTCTATAGGTAGCTACACTCTATGTAGGATGCACCAAGTTTGTATCATATTAAAACTTCACATTACATTATGAGCAACTTGCCATATGACTACCTAGCCTTCCTAGTTAAATTAGATGTCCCACCCTTTAATTACCTCAAACCCTATCTTTGGCACTGATGTTGCTTTGGCTTTTTTGTTTGTTAGTAAAAATGATGCTTCTGTGAATACATTTGTCTTCTTTGTTTTCTTTTGAATCTTTATTCATTTTTAAAATTTTTTTATTTTTGTTATTATTTTTAAAGATTTTATTTATTTATTTGACAGAGACACAGCGAGAGAGGGAACACAAGCCGGGGGGTGGGAGAGGGAGAAGCAGGCTTCCCGCTGAGCAGGGAGCCCAATGCAGGGCTCGATCCCATGACCCTGGGATCATGACCTGAGCCGAAGGCAGACTGAGCCACCCATGCGCCTGACTCTTTATTCATTTTAAAGACCCACGTGTATTACTGTTGTGCCTAGGAATATTAGGTCTGTATATTAAGTACTTTTTGACCACTGTTTAAGTTGGATCTGCCCTTATTCTAGACTTGTCCCACTTAAGCTTTAAGTAGATCTTAGTGCTTTGGGATTAGCTTCATAGGTAACTTCGCTCCATTCTTTGCCCTTGAACATCCTTGGAGTTAGAAACTAGAAATTTCTGTTTCACAACTGAGGTTCTCAGCACGTGGAGTCCAGGCTTTGCCACTAGTAAATACTGATATTTACCTTGTTTCTCTCATTGTACTGGTTCCTTTACGACGGACACTCAAAACCAATGGCCTGTTGTTGGGGACAGGGGTGGCTTGATTTTTTTTTTTTTATTCTTATGTTAATCCCCATACATTACATCATTAGTTTTAGATGTAGTGTTCCATGATTCATTGTTTGTGCATAACACCCAGTGCTCCATGCAGAATGTGCCCTCCTCAATACCCACCACCAGGCTAACCCATCCTCCCACCCCCCTCCCCTCTAGAACCCTCAGTTTGTTTTTCAGAGTCCATCGTCTCTCATGGTTCGTCTAAGGGGTGGCTTGATTTAACGCACATTATTTGAAGAGTAGGAAGAGCTGGGTTGCCGCTGTTCTGGGTCTGAGGGAATGGTGAAGCTATGAAATTGAGCAGGCAGAGGTCTTGACAAGATTGCTTTTATTCCTGTAACATTTTACTCTTTTTCTCCTCTCCTGTTTTTGCCAGGAAGCCAAGAAGAAGTATGACAAGGAGACAGAAAAGTATTGTGGCATCTTAGAAAAACACCTAAATTTGTCTTCCAAGAAGAAAGAATCTCAGCTTCAGGAGGTAAGATTATTTCACTAGTATCCCAAATAAGGTGTTTAAGTTCTATGTGGTGCTGGGGATGCGTGCTTGTTCCTCTTTGCTAGAAAATTCTAGGGTTTGAAGAGACCTCACAAACCAGGAGCTTGCCCCTGATCCCTCATCAGATGCCTGATGCCTGTATTGCCCTTTGTATCTTCCTGCTCACAGTACCCGTTTTCTGGCTGTCCAACCTACCAATAGGTGGGTGCTGATCAAGACCATGCTCCTCGTTGCTGGGCAGCCCTAGTTACTAAAATGTGCTTCTTCCTTTCAAACTGAAGTCTGGTTTCCTGTTTCTGTAACCCTTTACTTTGATTCTGCACTTATTGCCTTACTTCTTAACTTCCTGCCTTATATCTGTGATTTGAAACGTTAGCATCTGAAACACTTTGATCATCCTTCTTTATTGTTGTTGTTGTTATTATTATTTAAAGATTTTATTTATTTATTTGAGAGAGAGAGAAAGAGCGAGCAGGAGTGGGGGGAAGGGGCCGAGGGAGAGGGAGAAGGAGGCTCCTCTCCCTCCCCTACCGCCAGCAGGATCCTGACCTGGGACTAGATCCCAGGACTCTGGGATCATGACCTGAGCCTAAGGCAGACAATTAACTGACTGAGCCACCCAGGCGCCCCTGCTGTTATTTTTTAAAAAATTATTTCATCCCCCCCCAAATTATTTCAACCAGTACTCGATGTTAGTCTGTCTGTCTTGCTTTCTTTTCTTTTTTAAGGAGGATTTGTCATTCATATGTTTTATGCTTTGGTAACCTTGTTTCAAAAAACGTAAATTATCTGACCTACTCTGATTCTTTCTGGATTGACATGAAGAGTAGTTCACTTGGAAAAATATAGCTTTGCAGCCATGGATCTCTGATCATTTTCATTTAGTTCATGGAGATTTGCATGGTGAGGGTCTTGTTTCTGGGAGACAGAGCTGTTTCCTAGTGGAACTCCAAAGTTGACTACATGAATGTTATTTTACTCTTAACAGTTTGCTTGACCTTTCTCAGGTATGTGCTAAAGAGAGGCTGTGATTTCCAAGCTAGCCCGCATTCTTTTTTTTTTTTAAGTTTTTATTTTAATTCCAGTATAGTTAATATACAGTGTAATATTGGTTTCAGGTATACAATCTAGTGATTCAGCAGTTCCATACATCACCCGGTGCTCATCAGGACAAGTTGCACTCCTTAATCCCCATCACCTGTTTCACCCATCCCCTCCCCCCACATCCCCTCTGGTAACAGTGTGTTCTCTTTAATAAAGAGTCTGTTTCTTGGTTTCTCTCTCTCTCTCTCTCTCTTTTCTCCTTGTTCTGTTTCTTAAGTACCACATGAATGGAATCATATATTTGTTTTTTTCCGGCTAACTTATTTCACTTAGCATTATATTCTCTACCTCCATCTATGTTGCAGCAAATGGCAAGATTTTTTTTTTTTACTGTCTGAGTAATACTCCATTGTCTTATATACTGCATCTTCTTTATCCCTTCATTAGTCAATGGACAGTCGTCAAGGTAGCCCTCATTCTTGAATTTACTTTGTTTTTGAGAAAATACCATTTAGTACTTATATCAGGTGAAAGTTACTCTGAAGATCCTATGGTTGAAGGTTAACAATGAAGATACCTTAGGAGATGGTGGAGTTGAGTCCCTTAACAACCAGGATTTGTTACCCATCCTCACTTAGGAACCCTCTGCTTTGATATGGGCATTTAAAGCAGTTGTGTAAGTGATGAAGAGGACCCAATATCAACTCCAGCAACAGGTGTTTGTGTTGGGCTTTGCAGGCCAGTTCTTGGCCAACCAACAGCAAATGAGCACTTGGTGTGAACTGTGGACGGTAGAAAACACGAACCTATCTCTGAAGATCTTGTGCCTGACTGGGGAAAAAGCAGCAAACACATGTCAAGGTGACTCTTGAAGATAGCATAGCTACTCAGGTAAATCTTGTCAAATACGCTTGAGAAGGCTAAAGAAAACCTATTTCAGTGGATTGTATACAAAGTAATAAATTCACTGAATGGTATCCCAGCTGTGCATGGGGTATGAGCAGTGCAAGATTGCCCAAGAATATGTGATCATCCATGCAAAGTGCATAAATTCATTCAGGATCTGTGCTGATGCCCTCACTTTTTAGTTACCCTTCTTTGAAGGTCATTTGGCATTTAGGGTTTGGAAACTACATTTAAGGAAAGTCTTTTTGACTGCAACTCAAAATGACCAGAGCTGGCCAGCTCTCTAGTTTCTAAGCAGTTAACAGGAGTCAGGGTCTTTAAGAGTTGAGCGACTGTGTGATTGTTTTAGCATCTACTGGTGTTGAGAGGCCCATAGTACAGTTAGTCTGTAGGCATGTTCCCCAGAGTGAGGATGCTTCTCCGATCTGTTCTCTCTATTCCTGGATACTGCTGACATGGTCTGGGATGAGTCTAACATACTCTTTTAAGGCCACGCCAATATCCTCTCCTCCTGAGATAGCCCAGTGTCAGGAGCAGAGCACTGGGTGGCAAAGAGATATCTTAACATCAGGGCCTGCTGTGCCATATTTTCACTGTGTGACCTGGGGCAAGTACTCATCTCTCCGAGCTTTTAGTCCCATTTTTTGTAAAATACAAAGTACCTATTCTGTCTACTTCATGTATGAGAAGGCAAATTATAGCTGCTAAACAAATAAAAAGTATTAACCCCAAGACTGGCTTGTTTTTCCCCATTCCCTGTTCCCAAAGTGGATGGTACTCTCTTCCTCATTGATTTAGTATGTTCAGGTTACTACAATAGAGTACCATAGACTAGGTAGCTTATAGAGACAGAAATTTAACTCTCACAGTTCTGGAGGTTAGGAAGGCCAATATTAAGGCTCTGGCAGATTTAGTGTCTGGTGAGAGCTTGCCTCCTGGTTCATAGATGGCTGTTTTCTTGCTGTGGCCTCACGTGGTGGAAGGGCTAAGGGAGCTCTCCGGGGTCTCTTCTATAAGGCCACTCATCCCATTCATGAGGACTCCACCCTCATGACTTGATCACCTCCCGAAGGCCCCACCTCCAAGTGCTGTCACACTGGGGGTTAGGTTTCAGCTTATGAATGTTGTCAGGGACACAAATATTCAGTCCACAGCACTGACTTGGCCAGTTATATGTATTAGTGGACATTTCTTCATTACGTTCTTTTGTTATAGTTCGTTGTGTGCTTGTCTTTGACCCAGTCATACTTTCTAAGTACTTTGTAGGGCAAGGAGCGGGCTGCAGGTCTTTCAGAAAGGTCTGGGTCTGTTCTCAAGCATTACTTTTTAATTGTATCTGAGCTGAATTAAATCGATAAAAATCTATAACAACGAAAATGATATAATACTTTTACTAACAAAACAATAATAGCAGCAAATATTTACGGAATGCTTATTTTTGTACTGGGTACTCTGTTAGGCACTTTACTTGGAATCTTCTCAAGTCCTTACCACCTCCTTGTGAGGTATGGATGTATTCCCTCTGTTTTACATATGAGGAGACTAAGGCTCGAAGATGTTAAGTAGCCTACCCATAGCTCGTCAGTGAGGGTTGCACATTGGCTCTGGACTCTGGAGCTCTTTTCTCTTACCTCACTGTGCTCTTCTTGTCTCTCTCTTGGGAGGGTAGGATGTTGCTGGGCTGCCTGTAAGTCGTTGTTATTCAATGCACATATCATGAAAATAGAATTGGCTGGAAGGAGGGACCTTGATAATCTTCTGATTGAACCTACTGGAAATATATTAGAAGGAACTGGGTTCCTTGCAGAGGTCGATTTGTTCAACGTCTTCTAGCTATTTAGTGATGATTTTCTTCACATTTATTAAAAAGTCAACTTAGGAACATGACTAAACACCTAGTGCACTTTTAATGAAATCTGTCTTCTTTGATCATCCAGAATTCTTCCCTGATTGCAGGGCTTGAAACTGAATACTTTTGACATCTAGCCCATCCCCACATCCTAGTGGGTAAAATCATAGTGCAGTCCTGTGGAATGACACTGCCATCTAGTGGATGATTCTTTTTTAAATCACTATTTTTCAAGGGCTAAGAAGCTTCAACGACAATATTCACTTAACAAATATTCACTGCATGCTTCCGTGAGTCTATTCAGGTGTTGAGTGAATTGTGGAGAGCAAAATGAATGATTGGCTTTCCTGGAACTTACAGTCTAGGAACAATGTCTCTTTTCCAAGAAGCATAGAATGGTTGATCCGTCTCAGACAAGCTGGTAGGTTCACTGCTTTTCCGGTAACAAGCAGAGAAACGATTTTGAGTGGCCTGCCAGGTGGGCTGGACTCTTGGCCTATGAGTCCATTGCAGGATGGGGGTCTAAGGATGTGATGAATTCTGTGGCCCTGATGAGCAGGGGCATTAGCAGGAGAAACATACTATTCCACTTGGATTTCTTCTTCCCTTTCCTTTGGAAATGCATTGAGTTAGGCATTTCTTCTGAGAACTGGATCACTATCGGCCACATAGAGATCAATTCATTTCATTCCTTAAGCTTCTCTTGAATACTTACTATGGGCCAGGCACTGTTCTGGAAGCTGAGATAGTAAAGTGGAAAAAGGAGACAAAGTCTTTGCTCTCATTGACATTATGTTGCCATAGGCAAAACACAAGAAGAGAAAAGTGTAGAAAAGAATTTTACATAGTGCTAAGGAAATAAATTGGAAGGTAGGTTACTCTGGGGAGTCTTTATCTTATGTACCCATAACATGGTCACTGAAGTCTTCTCTAAAGAGGCTAACATTTGAATGGACATCGGAAGGATGAGAAGGACCACCAAGAGAAAATCTAGGACAGTGTTCTTGAAATTGTGGGTATGTTGGGTTGCCTGACTAGCTCAGTTGGTAGAGCGCGTGACTCTTGATCTCAAGGTTGTGAGTTCGAGGCCCACACTGGGTATAGAGATTACTTGAAGTGTTTTTAAAAATTGTAAGTGTGTCATAAAAATCTGAATTACTGGGTCATGAAATACAGTAGAGGAGGCTAGAACAGAAGAAGCCTATAAAGGCATGTTTTTTTGGGGGGTCATAATGTAAAAGACATTTCTTACTGTGTCTTAAAGTTTAAAAAAAATATCAAGGAGAAGAGGTTTATCAGCAGAAGGAACATCCAAGTGCAAAGATTGCTTGGCAGGAAAGCATTTGGAGTGTTACAGGACAGGGAGTCCATCTGGGAGGCTGGAGCACAGTGAGAATTCTTTGCGGGGAGGTTGGGAGGAGGGACAGGTGGGCAGGTCACACGGGGTCTTGTAGACCATGGTGGAAGCCAGAGAAAGGTGTTGAGGGGGTTGTGAGAAGCTCTGGTTCAAATTTTAAGAAAGCTCTTCTGGTTGCTGGGTGCAGACTGGATTGGGGCGGGGGAGAGAAAGCAAGCAGGGAGACCAGTTAGGAGAGGAGTGTAATCACCCAGAGATGCATGGCTGACTTAGGGGAGGAGCTGGGATTGAAGCCCATCTGCTCTGAAGTGCCTGGTGATGGTGACAACAAATGGGCACACAGCACTTTTTGGTATTCAAATTGCTCATATCCTTTAGCTCATTTTCTCTTGAAAATAGCTCGAGGCCGAGCAAGGGCCGATACCATCTCCAACCTCCAGGTGTGGGAAAGAGACCCAGAGATGATAAGTGACTTGAGCAGGTCTCTCCAGCTAGAGAATGCTAGAACTGCAAGTCCACGCCTGGTGTTTGCTCTTAGCTCTCTGACTGATGCTGGACTCTGCTCTTTGTCTCAGAGGAGTTTCCTCCATTGCTGCCTAACTGCAGGAGCCACTTCGCAAATTTTCAGAATGACCCTTTCTTCAGTTGCAGTGTCAGTTGGCAAGCCCGAGCAGGGAGGATGTTTGAGGTGTGTGGGTGGTCAGGGGAAGTAGATGCATCCCTGGCGTAAGTGTGTTGGATTTGCACTACGAGGAAATTAAAGGCTGCAGGAACATATGGGGCTTAGCTGGCAGGAGCCCAGGTGGAAGGGATATCAGCCCAGTGGTCGGAATAGCCACACCTGGGGAGGGGGTGCAGCACTTTCCGAAACTGTGTCTTCAGATAAAGATCTCTCAGTCCTCAGATGCCAACTTGTTCTGCTTGGAGGCTTAGAAAATGTCCTCAGGCCCTTCGTTTTGCTTTTGTTCAGCACTTTACTCAGCACACTAACTTCTGTGTATTAGTATGTTGACCTGGGAGGAAGTTGCTCATAGGAGAGTTGAATGGGCTATTTGTGCTCTCCCAGAGTTTGCAATTTTCTGTTTATTTACATGATTATTTAGTATCTCTTTTCTTCACTCTGCTGTGAGCTCCATGAAGGAAGTTTCTTTTTGTTCATGATGGTTGAATAAATGAATGATTTGCCAAGTCCTTTAGATAGAAAGACAGTAGTGCCGGGGCGCCTGGGTGGCTCAGTTGGTTGGGCGACTGCCTTCGGCTCAGGTCATGATCCTGGAGTCCCGGGATCGAGTCCCGCGTCGGGCTCCCTGCTCGGCGGGGAGTCTGCTTCTCCCTCTGACCCTCCCCCCTCTCATGTGTTCTCTGTCTCTCTCATTCTCTCTCTCTCAAATAAATAAATAAAATCTTAAAAAAAAAAAAAAAAAAGAAAGACAGTAGTGCCATATTTGGTGTAATGGCCGGTAAGGTCTGTCCCGAGTTTCTTTGCAGGGGTCTTGACAAGGGAATACCGGAAGACATGTTTCTTTGGGGGCTTTGTTTGTCTTTGTGAAGTATGTTGTAGAATGGTTTCTGATCCTTTCATTTCCAAAGAAAGCAGAGTTGTGTTTCCTACTAGGAGGATATTCATTTCTGTTAAGAAATACTAGGGTGGCTCAGTTGCCTTTGACACAGGTCATGATCCTGGGGTCCTGGGATGGAGCGCCCCTCGTTGGAGCCCTGCTGAGCAGGGAACCTGCTTCTCCCTTTCACCTCCCCCACCCCCTCTTGTGCTCTCTCTCTATCAAATAAATAAAATTGTTAAAAAAAATACTAATATTTTTTGTCATTGAAATGTGCATTCAGTGTAATTATCTGTTTTGAAAGATTGAGGTGACACAGTGACACTGTAGAAAGGCTACGAGCTTTATCGTGATAGTTGAGGTACTCCACAGCATAGCATCTTGCTATTACACACAGACACTCTCTCTCACACACACTCATTTTCTCCTCTGACAGCTACGTCCTACATCACTGGTTTAATTGTACTCACGTACGGGCCTTTTCAGGCATCCCCTCCCCCACATCTGCAAAGAGGGAGGACTGAGGCTAGGATGGAATAATGTAATTACTCTGCTGGGGTAAACTGACAGTTTGTTCTTTGACAACAAAGAAGGTATGGGAAACTCATGTGGAAATGGCCTTTTCTGAGGTTCCCTGCCTTCTAACAGCTTGTTTGGTTCATTCCTGATGATAGCCTTGCAGGTGTTTTTTTTTTTTCTCCTTCAAGATTTGTCTTCCATGGAACCCAAGTCTGCCCCAGGGGGTGGGAAGGCAGTACAGACTACTAGTTTAAAGATGATTGAGGTTCAGGGCATCTGGGTGGCAGTTAAGAATCCTACTCTTGGTTTTTGCCCATGCCCCTATCTCAGGGTTGTGCGAATGAGTCCCCAGTCAGGTGCTGCATGGAGTCTGCTTACAGTTTCTCTCTCACTCTCCCCCCACCACGTGCTCCCTCTCTTTCTCTTTCTAAAATACATAAGTACTTCTTTTAAAAAAAAGGCGATCAAATGTCTTGAGGCAGATCCACAGTACAGAAATCCTAACTCTGCCGTGTACCAGCTGCTTCCGGTTCCCTAACATTAGCGGGTTTCATTTTCCTCCTGTAAATTAGAGATAATAAGAATATCTTCTTTTTAGGAATGGAATGAGGATTAAAGAACTATAGTTAATGAGGAGCGAGTAACGTAATGTATGTATACCTGAGGGGATGGTGCCTGACACAAAGTTAAGTGCCCGGCTGACCACTGTCATTATTCTTATGTCTATTTCATGTAGTTTGCATTGTTTTTAAAAACCATTTCTGGAGATTTTCCTGGCCTGCTTGCTGAATGCTCTCCTTGGTTAGTGACTGATTTTTCTCTTAAATTCTGTCTTGTTTGTAGGCAGACATCCAAGTAGACTTGGTCCGGCAGCATTTCTATGAAGTATCGCTGGAGTATGTCTTCAAGGTGCAGGAAGTCCAAGAGAGAAAGATGTTTGAGTTCGTGGAGCCTGTAAGTAGATGCTCAGGGTTCCCCCCTGTACCCACACTTGGATCCCCAGCTCTCATTGCACTGCCTAGATTACAAAATGCTCTAGGTCGCTGATGAAGAGGTTGACCGGCCCTGGTGCGGTGCTCTGTCAGTCTGGCTGACCCTGGATTGTCCCCAGTGGCCATTCCTGTGCAACCTGAGCAGTAGTGGTGGCGCATTCAGGGGGAGTTGCTTCCTCAGGCCCCCCTCTGTTCTGCCGGGGCAGGAGTTTCATCTTGCCCAGTAGTAGTGATTACACCTTAACTTTTCACCCTCCCACCCCCTTCCTTTCTCCCTCAAATAATCCAAATGTAGTAGTTGCCCAAGGGGAATGTACATACTACCTTTGTCTTTTTGTCTGCTCAATTCAAAACCCCTCTGCACTCCTTCCATGCCTTAAAAGGTGCTATATAAAGCGATTTCTCACTGTAGTTTGTTATAACTGGGCAGCCAGGAGATTGTGCTTAGTGAACCATAATGGGATTTGGACTTGGTCACTGTGTCCCAGTGGGTACAAAAGGTTGTTGTGCAGAAACAAATCTGGCTTTAGTTGAGGGCACCTTAGCCTGTTGGTGGCTCCGTGCAGTGGTGGTGCTGCCCTACCCGGCTGTGGCACTCTGAATGCACATGACCAGGATGTCCAGGAAACCCCAAAGGAGCATGTGGGCCTCGATTTAAAGCTCTTGCAGACCTTGGATTCTTTGTTAGAAATGCTGGCTGTGATTGTGACCCCCGCCTGGGGTCTCTATAGAAACAAGATTCTTACCTACCTAGATTTAAGCAAGTGATTTTTTTAAGCAAACGAGAATAAAACTGTAAGAAACTGAAAGAAAATAACCACTCTTTTCAGTAAAGAGTGTTCTGTGCTCCATTTCTAATTTATGAACTTCTGGGGTGCTTTTTAGGCATGTAGACTTGCTAATAGTTTTAACAGAATCCACTGGGCTTTGGAATCTGATGCTTAGATTTTTTACTATACCGTAACTGTGATCTTGGGATTCCACTCTGTGCCACCCCATCTGGCAAATTCCTTAAGGTCTTTAATTACCTCATTCTTCTTATCTGAAAATTGGGAGCTTTAGAGCCAACTTCCTGTCTAGCAGTGGTCTCTGTCACAGTCTCAGGTCAAAATCCCCATGTTTTTACGGAGTCTGTGTGGTGGAAGAAGCCATCTGTCAGAGAAAGTGAGCTTATTGATTTCCCTGCTTAGGGCACAGAGTTGGTAAAGCCAGCCATACAATGAACGGTGTATTGAAGACTGTTTCCTCTGGTGTGGGCAGGCATTCAAAAGCTGTCACAGATTGAGCCTTGGGCATGTTTCATTGATTTTACCAGAATTTGTAGAGGAAAACAACAGTGTGATTGTAATAATCTTTATGTGCAAATTGATATTATTCTACAATTGCCTGCTTTTCAGGACTTGGATTTTAATTGGCCCATCTTAATTCTTTGAAGTGATTTTTTTGTTGCTGTCTACTTTGACCTCCCAGTAGGTGTTCCTAGTGAGTCAGGTACTGTATCTGTGTGCTTTTGCTGGGTAACAACCACAAAACTCATACAGCAGTAGACATTTATTTCTCCTAAATCTGGGGGTTTCTTCTCCTTCTTTTTCTTTCTCTTTCTCTTTCTTCTTCTTCTTCCTCTTCCTCTTCCTCTTCTTCTCCTTCTTCTCCTCCTCCCCCTCCCCTCCTCCTCCTCCCCCTCCTCCTCCTCCCCCTCCTCCCCCTTCTCCTCCTCTTCTTTCTTCTTCTTCTTCTTCTTCTTCTTCTTCTTCTTCTTCTTCTTCTTCTTCTTCTTCTTCTTCTTCTTCTTCTTCTTCTTCTTCTTCTTCTTCTTCGTTCTTCTTCTTCCTTTTTAAGAAACCTGCAAAGAATAATCCTTCTATTTCCTGGCACTCACTTTTAGTATATCAGTGTCTTGAGTTTTTGAGAGGCAGTATAATCATTGGTAAGGGCTCCAGAGCCAGACGGCCTAGATTTAAATCTCAGCTCAGCCATTTCCTAGCTGTGTGTTCTTGGGGAAGTTACCTATTTCTCTGAGCCTTAGTTTCCTTATCTACAACATGAGTATAATAATACCACCTACCATATAAAGATGTTAGGAGGAATAATTTAGTTTATCCATGTATGATGCTTAGAATAGAGTGAACCTAATTAACACCCAGTTAGTATATAATTGCTAATTAGCACCCAGGCAATGATTACTTTTTATTAGAAGATAGAGGAATATGTAAGCTTCAGTCAGCCAGGGTCTACTTACATGAGCAAATGAGTCAAGTGGCAATATTAACAGAGTCTGCCTGTTTTAATATAAAAAGTCTTGGTAAATCTGAAAGCATTTACTTACTACCAGAAAAATTGCTGAAGATACCGCTGCTGTTTCTGAGGAGTTCAAAGCCTCATTAGGGAAGCATGATGTATATAGTAGAGAGGTATCCAAGGGAGCAAGCAGCTCAGTGCCATTTGAGTCAGGAGGGATCATGTGGGGAAGTGCCAGAGGGGTATCAAGAGTGGAAAACTGTTGTGATTTGTGGATGTGTCCCAGGCCATGCAGTGAGGCACCTGGAAAGCTAATGATAAAAATTTCTGGTCCCCTGTTAGAATGAAAAGAAAATGATAGGATCTTGCCCACAGTTAAATTAAATGAGTTGGTTGAGAGGCTGCATGTAGAATTCACATGTGCAACCTTCACTTTTTTATAGAAGTTAATGTTGCTCAACCCACCACCTCATGGGCGGGTCAGGGCTTCGGGAGCTGTGGCTAGCAGGAGGGATTGATCCAGAACACTGCTGATCAGACCCATGGTTGTCAAAGTCGAGAAATGCAGACTCTTGGCTCTACCCTAGAAAAATTGTGGGTTGGGGCCCAGTCATCAATCTTTTAGTAAGCCCTCTAAGGTGATTCTGTGGCACTTTTAAGTTTGAGCCCCTGGCTGAGATTGTGCAAAAGACCCTGAAATAACAGTTGATTAGGAGTCAATGTGTCATATGCTAATGGTCCCTTCACCTCCATAATGTCATCCAATCCTTACACTGTCTCTGAGGGTAGGTAATTGCTGTTTTATGTCTGTTTTCAGATGAGGAAATGGAAGCACATTTATTCTCTAAGGTGACATCTGGTACCTAGCAGAAGTGGAATGGCTCTTAGTTTCTCTGAAACAGTATTTGATTGCTTACAGGTGGAAAGGAAACCAGAAGAAATTTATTGAACTAAGTTGCTGGGGCACCTGGTGTGGGTATTCATATTTTGAGGTGGTTGCAGTCAAGAGAATCTTCCAGCCATTCAAGGAACCTCCATGGAGGTTGACTGTGTTCATTTGTTTCCTAGAAAGTAACTTCAAGTACCAGGATGTTACTGACCTTCAGAAAAAAGAAACAAAATTTTAGTGTTCCAAGCAAGAAAATTCAGACTTCTGGCCTTTATTTTCTTGTTGAGGTACTAAATGTTCTGGAGATTTTGGATTGCAGATAATGACATCCTGATTTCTTGAAGGTGAAGCCACGTTCCGTCTGTTCCCTGAGTTTTCATAATTGGAGGTTACGGAGTGCTACGGAGAACTCATTCCCCACATTCATCAGACACTGCATTCTCTGAGTTGTACCTGGAGAATATTTTTTGGTGCTGTGCCTTCCTGTCCTTTCTCACTACTTCTGCCCCACCGTAGGTCTTCATTTTCTCCTTTGATTTGTTGCATCCTATCTTGGGCTCCCCCCTTCCTCAGGCTGGGCTGGACACCGCCACCACAGTGCATCTTCTAACACATCCGTCTAAGTATATCCGTCTTGCTGAACAGCTCCTGTTGGCACTCCTGTGCTAAGGCTGTTATGTAGGTGATCTCTGTCTTCACCACCACCCAGTGCAGTAGTATGTAGCATTAGTGTCCTCCTGGAAAAGAAGAGTTACAGGGGATTACATGGCTTGCCCAGCACAGCTTATCATCACTCTACTGTCTGCCCTTCTCTTTGTCATGCGAATGAGTGATTCTTGGTGGTTATATTTGTTTGTGAAGGCTGCCATAACCAAGTACCACCAACTGGGTTCTCAGAATAAAAACTTCCTGCCTCTCATAGTTCTAGAGGCTAGAAGTCCAAGAGCAAGGTGTCAGCAGGGCCATGCTCCCTCTAAAACCTGTAGGGAAGATGTCCTTTCTTCCTTGTAGCTTCTGGTGGCTGGTTGGCAGTATTTGGCATTCCTTGCTTTATAGGTGCATCACTGCTATCCCTTGTCCTCATGTGGTTATCATGCCTCTGCTTCTCTGTCCAAGTAGCCCCTTTTTATGGGGACACTGGTCATTTTAGATCAGGACCTGCTGGCCTGATTTTAACTTGAGTACCTCCGTAAAGACTCTATTTCCAAATAAAGTCACATTCTGAGTTACTGGGATTAGGACTTCAACAAAATTTATTTGTCAGGGTTGGGGGAACACTATTCAGCCTGTAACAGTACCTTTGTTCTGGACTATCAGATAGTCCAGAATGGTACAATTGTCACTGAATGAAGCACTTACATTTTTGCTTACTTAAAAAATATATATGCTATATTGTCTTGTAGGAAATAGGAATAGATTTTTTTTTAAAGTTATTTTCTGAAGAAAATAAGGATGGGGGTCCTTGAAGGCAAAAGGAGGTGGGGAAGGTCTTTCTTTGGTATTGCCTTTGTTGCGCTATGATTGTGTGTCCCTGGCTGTTCAGGGAGGAGCCTCTATGGATGTGCTGACTTATCTGCCAACCAAGGTGAGGCTACAATAAGCTTTTCCTCTTTGTGTTTGAGTACAAGCATTTCTTTGAGGCAGACAGATGATCCATCTCTGGGGTCTTTTGAGGACCTCGCCCAGCCCTCTGGGGAGTGAACTTTCATTTCCCACTGGGTAATGGATTCAAAGGTTCATGCAGTGTGTGGGAAGGGGATGTCAGGAGGTGTGCCAGGGGAAGAGAGATGCGGGCAGGGGAGAAGGGAAGGGGGCCAAGGATAACAATATCTATGGAATCATTTCCCATAGGGAAGTGGACAATCAAGCATGATATCAAAGGAAGTGAAAACCAAAATAAATACTAGTCACTCTCTGCCTTGAACACTTGTGTGCATGCCCAGGTGGTGTCTTAGTGAGCTGTTGGAGGATATATTTAATTACCTTGGACAAGAGAGGCCCTGTTGACTTTAAGTGGAAAATAAATCAGAGTTAACAGGAGAAATGGCTTTGGAATTAGCTGCTTATCTTCTGCATTATTCTCCAGGAGAGGATGATTCAGTGCCTTCGAAAAGTGATGGGCACAGCATTCGAGAATGGGGGGAAGGAAAAGATAAGAAACAACAGTTTTCATTGTGAACACTGACACTAGGTTTGGCATAAGGGCCTCTTCTTCTCTATTCCTGGATCCATCTAGCTGGAAAACCCTGAGTGTTCCTTTCAAAAAAGTATTTTATATGGTGGAAGTTCAAAAGCTTCCATCATCTTTCAAGAAAATAATTCATTATTAGTCTTTGGTGACTCTATGTGGTTTACCACTCCTTCATTGATTTATATTAGTGATCTGTATATGGCGTCACAAGATATTTTTTGAGCCAGAGGACCCAGCAGGCCTGCTTTCTGACCTCGCATGAGAATCTAAGGGAATAGTTGCTCTGGGGATAATAGCAGTGGGAAGTTGGGATATCATATTATTAAAAGCTGGGTTTTGCCTGACTTCACAATACAGAGCTCTTTGATCAACTGGGCTGGGCAGTGGCTCAGTCCAAAGACCATTCTTTGCTCTGAGCTCAGGTAGAGTAGCACATACCTTACCACGTAGCACATACCTTACCATGTAGCACATACCATACAATGCTTACCATTCCTGCCACAAGCCAGGTGGGAGATGAACGGGGGTGGGCTGTTTCCTTTGCCATCATTGTTAGGGCTGCCTCTCAGAAGAGGGTTCTCTCAGAAGAGGAGAGTTAGGTGAAAAAACAAAGTGAGAATATGTTTAATTACTAGAGGTATGTTCGTTTGAGGGACTGGAAAATTAAATAACAATATAAAACAAAGCAACTGTATCTTGATGTAACATGTGTTAGAGCAGGTCAGGGAGGTCAGAGTGGACCACTCAGAAAATGTGAGTTGGCATTGAAAAGTTTGAGTTAGAACAGGGATGGAGTCCCCAAATGCAGTATGACAGAGATTGTGACAAGGTAAAGTTCTGGTTCTTCTAAAACCTTGTTAAGGCTTGTATTGCAATCCTTTCTCCAGGTTGAGATTTGGAACTGAGGCAAGATGCATAGAACTTGGGAAGGGGCCAGGGAAACCTAACAACAGTAGCTTTGTGTGTAGGTTCTGGGAGGAAGTAAGGTAGGAACATTGGTTAGCCTGGAGAAGTGAAGATTGGCAGGACTCAGGGTGGGAACATTCATAGTTTTCACTGTATGAAGGTGTGTTGTGAGAATCAGGCTGAACAGATGTTTTCACTCTTCACTAAATACAAGACTACAAAGTGAATGGACTTAATACCTTTTAGCTCGAGGGGATTTAAATGAGAATTTAGGGAACCATCATAACTGAAGATGTGGGAACATGGGAATATTTTAATAATGGCATCCCTGGTGTTTACCTGTGGGTAGTTTAGGGAGAGCACAGAAGCACATTTGAGCTGAAGTCTGATCTGGGTGATTTTCTTTGATTTGACTTTGCCTGTGACACTGCGGACTCAGGACATACCATCTTCCTCTTCTCCCCTCTCTGTTGGCCGTCAATATAACTATACTTTTCCGCATGGTAACCTGATACTACAGATGTATTTGATGGAGACTGAGTTGGTCTTGAAGGAGACTGGTCTTCAATTTCTGAAGAAATGATTTTCTTTGAAGGTACTGAGGCTCAGAGTAAGAGCTTGGATGTTGATGCTGAAGAGACTTGGTTTCAAATCCTGGTTGCTGCTTACTTTGTCTTTTGGAGCAAGTTACTTAACCTTTCTGAACTTGCTTTCTCAATATTGAAATGGAGACAACCGTAGTACTTACCTGCTAGGCTGTTAAGAGCATTTAGTGAGAGCAGACATACGATGTTACAGTGCCTGGCATACGAGTAAGCTCAGTAGATGATAGGCATTTTTATTACTGTGTTCTAGCCTTTCAAATCAAGGTTGGGAACTCAGGTAAAGCTGCGTAATACCTATTTAACATGCTTATGTGAACTCTGCCCTTCTTCTTTCCTTACAGCTACTGGCATTCTTGCAAGGACTCTTCACTTTCTATCACCATGGTTATGAACTGGCCAAGGATTTCAGCGACTTCAAGACTGAGTTGACCATTAGCATACAGAATGTGAGTGGGCAAAGAGATAGGCTTCCTTTTCCTGGTTGAGAAAAGGAAAGAACACAAAGTATGGGTCTGATTGCATAGAGATCACTTATTTGGATTGGAATGCAGATGAGGAAGATGGGTCTTGCTTGGGTTCAAAGGGCAGCTGGGGCAGACATTTGTAGGGTGCTTGGTGGCCCCAGGTTAGAGCATCAACCTCTTTTCCATTATTTCTAAGCACTATTTATGTTTTCGGAAGTCCTGCTGATATTTTTGTTTTAAATCTGTAGCACCAGAGTCAGGATTTCCTTTGGCAGTGGAAGGCCCAGCCTCCCTCTGTGCATCTAGCTGCCTGGCCACAAGAGACCTTGGAGGGTGTTCAGGAGTTGGGGGTGGGGCATACATGCTGGCCTCCAGCTCAAAGGATATGATCTTGTTTAACTTTTAGTAAGGCTCACAGGAAATCCAAGTCAGAGCCATTTACTCCCAGTCTCCTTCCCCACATTTTAACCAGCAGGACCTTTTGGTGCTCAGAATTGTGCTAAGGGCCGTTTGGTTAGCAGTTACTGGTCTCAAACCCCTGTGTCACTATGTGGCTGGCTATATTAGTCTGCGTGTTGTCTTTGTCTCTAGATGATGCTGTGTAGAAAAGAAACCCAAGTGTGTCCTTGTGAGTTTTATTGCATGGGTTTAGAAGCCTGGAGCTTGCCCTGCCACAGTTCTCTGTGTTGTTTTGGAAAACAGACAAGGTTTCCCAAAGCATGGCTTCCCCTTAGGCCAGCTTCCTCAGAAGGTAGACTCGGAAGTGGAGGTTTACGTGTAGCAGGTTTACAGGGGAGTAGGGTCAGAAAAATCACCCGTGAGAGAGAGGGCAGCAGACCCCTGCCAAAGAAGTTGAGCTGTGAAGCCTCAGTCAATGCCCTGGGGTGTCCTGGAGCTGATATCGACCTTCACAGTGACTTCAATAGAAGCAAGGGTGCCAGGCTTTGGACCCCTTCCCCTTTTGCCCCTAGCCTTGACTAGTCGTGGGGTGCAGGTTGCGCTGGGGAAAGGAGTTACCTTGAGTGAACCAGCTCCCTTTTGAGGAAGAAACCATCTATGAACCATCAGCAAGTGGTATTCCTGCAGTTGGAGAAATAAGTCCCTCTGTCTTTTTTTTTTTTTTTTTTTTTTTAAGATTTTATTTATTTGTGAGAGAGAGAATGAGAGACAGAGAGCATGAGAGGGAGGAGGGTCAGAGGGAGAAGCAGACGCCCTGCTGAGCAGGGAGCCTGATGTGGGACTCGATCCCGGGACTCCAGGATCATGACCTGAGCCAAAGGCAGTCGCTTAACCAGTTGAGCCACCCAGGCGCCCCTAAGTCCCTCTGTCTTGAAGGGAGCTTGGGGGACTGTTCTGTGAACTATCTGAATCAGGGTCCCTTGGGATGCTTGTTTAAAATGCACATTTCTGGGTCCAGGGGTACTAAATTAATCTTTAGGGGTGATGCCTGGACATTTGTATTTTCTCCACATTGTCCAGGTGATTTTGATGGTCTTGAGAGTTTTGAGAGTCATTCTGGTATAGGATTTTATGGTCAAAAGGTACTTCTTGAAAGTATTTGCCTAATTCCTAGGTGGCTCAATGTTCCTTACCTGGTTTTAGATCTAAGGATTCCATACGTTGATGTTGTGAATTGTTAGAGATGAGAACAAGGTTTCATTTCTTTGATTTAAATGCCTTTCATCCTAGACAAGAAATCGCTTTGAAGGCACCAGGTCAGAAGTGGAATTGCTGATGAAAAAGATGAAGGAGAATCCCCTTGAGCACAAGACCATCAGTCCCTACACCATGGAAGGGTACCTGTACGTTCAGGAGAAACGTGAGTGCTGGTGGTGAACGATGGCTTGGGGTACACTTAGGCCTTTTGCCCGGGAGGTAGAGGGTGTGTCTAGTAGTGCCTCGCCTAGAGCACAGCTTCTGTAAATATAGATTCGGGTGATGAGAGTAGCTGATAGTTGAGTTTTTTAAGGGAAAGATACCCAAAAGGTCTTGTCTACCTCCCCGTGATGTGTTCTGTTTTCTTTGTAACTGGAAATTCCCTTAGGAACCTGGAATTCATTGAGGCTCTGTGGTGATTTTTTTCTCCTTAATATCACTTGACGTGCCTGAACGCTTAGCATGGCTTTAGCTGTCGCACGCTTGGCATAGAGGCTCTGAAAGGGTCTTGCATGCTAGACCTTACTGTCTATCAGTAGTCATATCCTTGTGTGGACTTAATATGGAATGATTTTGTTCCATTCAAGACTTGGTTCGGCAAGGACCAAATAGTCATGACTTAGGCCTTCTCACCTCCTTTCTTCAATTGCTGTCATTTCAACCCTCACATTTTGTGAGTAGAAACACAAACTCACTCCGAGAGGTAGGAAGAGAAATCCATTGTCCTGCCAATGTGATGTCAAGGAAAGAAACACCAGGTGCTGCTAATCCAGACTTCTTTGTGATGACTCATAGGCTACTGCGATAGGTCTGGGGAAAGGCTTTTTGATGGGGCCGTGCTTTGAGGGTAGCACTTCCAGACTTAGCTCATGGAGTGCTAGGGATAGAAGAAGGTCAATTTTTTTTTTTTCTTTAATGGATAGTTCTCCTAGTCTTCCATCCCTCCTTTTTCGGTTGGACATGTTAATCCTCCCAGATTTTTGCTGGTTTTGTGCTCTTTACTGTCCTTCTGTTGATTCAGGGTGAGGCAAATGTCTTCACTCCTAGAAGCTTACTAATGGAACAGAACACTTGATTTCAGTGATTATTCTAGTTAGTGATTGCTCAAAAGTTTGCTTGGCCCTAAAATTGTTGCCTGGTGACAATGGGGGCAGTAGTGGGGTTTGAGTTTGGAGGCATTGGTTATCTTGAGGGTTTTTATGCCCTTTATTCTTACAGGGATGAGTTTGTTGAGGTTTATAAGAAGTGGAAGGTACTTTAGTACTGTGTTTTGTGTAGACCTCAATATAAGGTGTTACCTTTTTTACCCAATGAGAAGAGCCACCCCAAAAAGTTTAAGGTCAACTTGAATATAGTTCAGTGTCCACTTACAATACTTAATTTATTAATATTATTCACTTACATATATGTAATCTGCATTCACATTAATAAACCAATTTTATTCAAACACTTCACATGCTTTTTAAAACATGAATGTCTTGATAATCATTAGAACCAGATTTTAACTCTCAAACACATGAGTCTAGAGCATATCAATGGGATACAGCTTTTGTCATTTGAAAGTTTTGGTGACTTATTACTTAGAAATAATTTGAAATGTGAAGAAAAATTGCAAGAAGAGTATAATGAACAACTATATGCCCTTTATCTAGATGCATGAATTTTTACCATTGTTCCACAATTTACAGAGTTCTTTCTCTTTCTGGGTGTGTGTGTACACATATCACAGTCACAGAGACACACACACATTGCCGTTTTTTCTGACTCGTTTTGGAACTGATTCCATACCCCATGCTTCTTTACTTTAGTGTGTATTTCCTATTCTTTTTATGTAACCACAGTATAGTTTCCATATCCAGCAAATGTAACATTGATAAGATATTTAATGTAAATGACAGGTCCTATTCCAATTTTGTCAGTTGTCCCAGTAATGCCCTTATAAAGCATTTTCTTTTCCTTCTGTCTAGATAGGACTTCATACTGTGTTTGTCATGACTTACTCTGTAATAATTCCTCAGCTTTTCTTTGTCCTTCATGACACATTTTTGAAGAGTGTAAGCCAGTTCTTTTCTAGAATTTTCTTCACTGTGGGTTTGTCTAATGTTTCCCGGTGATTAGATTCAGGTTAGGCATCCCTTGTCAAATCCTATATAAGTAGTAACATTTGTGTTCTTATCTGGGTACCACGTCTAGCGGCACAGGATGGCCATCTGCCCCTCAGTGGTGATGTTAATTTTGGTCACTCACTCAAAGTATCATTTAGTTTATCCACTGTACAGTCACTAGTCTTCCCTTGTAGCTCATTAGCAGTGTATGGGGAGACCCCTTAAGACCATATCTTTCTCATCAAGCTTTGCTAGAGTTAGCATCCACTGGCAGTTCTTGCCTAAACAGATGGTTACTGTGATGGTTGCAAAATGGTGATTTCTTAGCTCTGTCACTCTCCCACATTTATTAGTTAGTGTACTGCAAGGAAGCAACCGCCCTCCCCTCCTCATTCTCTTCTTCTCTCCTTTCTTAGCCAGCCATCCATCCATCCATCCATCCATCCATCCATCCATCCATCCATCTTATTGTCAGGATGGACTTAAGGATTTCTGTTCTATTCAGTAGGCTAAATCCAAGTCCAGTACTGTTCTTATTTGTTTGGATGCTCAGATGATTTAAGATACAGAACTTTAGGAATCTTTGTGTTGTGCTATCCTTGGAATTTTTTCTCTGAGCCACAAAAATAAATTAGAATGGTTGGTATTTTTGTCTTTGATGCTTCAATGTAGACACTTACTGTGTTGCTTTTTACTTTTTTCATTTCCTACGTAATATTCCACTTTTTTTTTTTTAAAGATTTTATTTATTTATTTGAGAGAGAGAATGAGAGAGAGAGCATGAGAGGGGGGAGGGTCAGAGGGAGAAGCAGACTCCCTGCTGAGCAGGGAGCCCGATGCGGGACTCGATCCTGGGACTCCAGGATCATGACCTGAGCCGAAGGCAGTCACTTAACCAACTGAGCCACCCAGGCGCCCTGTAATATTCCACATTTGCTATGGGCACTGATACCCTGAAAAATAACTACTAAATCTTTGTTAAATTTCATGTTACTACTTAAAAACAACAGCAGCAACAACAACAACAAAACCATTTCTGCTCTGTGATCTCTTAGAGCATCTAAGGCTAGTGTTGATTGAGGACCTTAGAGGCTAATAATGCTGATTATGCCTTCTTCCTCTAATAATATTTTGTTATTCAAGATAAAGTAGTTAGCCAACCACCAGGTAGAATCAGGATTTGACTGAAGGGCATCTCCCTCTTTCCTGAGGGATAATATTGAGGGACAGACTCCTTAGATTACATTTGGGTATTTATAGTTACTTCCATTTACATCTTTGTGTCAGAGTTTGCCTGTCTGCTTTTCAGATCATCTTGAGTCTGGTAAAGTACAGATTAGGGGTTTGGCAGTAGGTCAGAACCTCTGTATGTCTTTGCAGAGAGTTGCAGAGCAGCTGTGTGGGAAGCATGAAGTCATCACACCAGATGGGAACAGTGACAGGCACTTTGAGGAGCTTTTCTCTGTTCTTTCCTCAATCATCTTACTTCTGTCAGGGGAGAAGGAAACTTCAAGTGGAGATTGATGATGGGAAAGAGAATTAATTTCCCCAGGGAACCTCTACTTCCCTTATATTTTAAGACCCATTGGATACAGCATTTAGTGGGAAACAGTCTTCCTTGGTCCCTGGGGAAAGCCCTGGGTCAATTCCATTTCCAGCCCGTGGGATCAGATTTCTGCCTGTTCCAGTCTAGCTGGTGGAGATTACATTGCCCTTAGAAACAGTTTAAGGGTAGGTGAGCACTGTGGGTTGTGGGCTGTGTGTATTTCCAGCATGCGTTCGACACATAGAGATGTTTCATGGGAAATACTACCTTGCAGGTCACTTTGGAACTTCTTGGGTGAAGCACTACTGTACATATCAACGGGATTCCAAACAAATCACCATGGTACCATTTGACCAAAAGTCAGGAGGAAAGGGGGTGAGTTCGTTTTTTAAATTTCATGCTTGATTTGCTTGGCTAACATAGGATGGTTATAATGCATATGTATAGCAACACCTTCAGTATGTCACTGTCATTTTCTTTTTTTGTTTTTTAAGTTTTTTTTTTTTCTACTGAAGTATAATTAGCATACAGTATTAAATTTCCCTTCAGGTATACAGTATAATGACTCAACAATTGTATACATTATTCAGTGCTCGTCACAGTACGTAGACTTTTAAACTCCTTATCTATTCCATTCACCGCCCCCCACTCACCTTCCCTCTGGCAACCATCAGTTTGTTCTCTATGTTTGAGTCTGTTTTTTTGTCCATCTGGACATTTGCTTTTTCTTTGTTGGTTCATTTGTTTCTTATATTGCACATTTAAATGAAATCATATGGTTTTTGTCTTACTCTGTCTGACCTATTTTACTTAGCATTTATACCCTCTAGGTCCATCCATGTTGTTGCAAGTGGGAATACCTCGTTTTTTTTTCATGGTTGAGTAATACTCCTTTATATATATATATCCCAGTTTCATTCTTTTGCATTTGGCTGACCAGTTTTCCCAGCACCATTTGTTGAAGAAGACTGTGTTTTCCCCATTGTATATTCTTGCCTCCTTTGTTGTAGATTAATAGATCATATAGGTGTGGGTTTATCCGTGGATTCTCTATCCTGTTCCATGGAGCTATATGTCTGGTTTTGTGCCAGAACCATACTGTTTTGATCACTACAGCTTTGTAGTGTATCTGGAAATCTGGGATTGTGATATCTCCAACTTTGTTCTTCTTTCGCAAGATTGCTTTGCTGTAGTTTTCCTTACTTTTACACAATAGTTCTAGGAGGAATAGTACCCTAGACAGTAACTATAGCAAGGCGAGTATTCTTAGCTTTAAGTTCTATTAGGAGCTGCAACTAAGAAAGATTCTTGTATTTCACATATATACAATGTTAAGTATGTCAAATGTGTTTAGATGCTAGAAATTCCTGGATGGCCTTGTCCTGTGAAACTGATGGATATCACTCTTACTTGATACAAAGAGGGCTGCAAGCTAATGGTTTAGGTGTCCTGATTATCTGTTGCTGTGTAACAGATCACTGAAAAACTTAGCAACTTTTTTTTTTCTAAAGATTTTATTTATTTATTTATGTGTGAGAGAGAGAGACCATGAGCAGGGGGAGAGGGAGAGAGGCAGATGGAGAGGCAGAGGGAGAGGGACAAGCAGACTTCCCACTGAGTGGGGAGCCTGACACAGGGCTCGATCCCAGGACCCCGAGATCATGACCTGAGCTAAAGTCAGATGTTTAACCGATTGAGCCACCCAGGTGCCCAAACTTGCCAACTTTTAAAACAACACCAGTCATTTTAGTATTTCTCACAGTTTCTGAATGGGTCAGGAATTGGGTGAGCGTTGGGATGGGTGCTTTGGGCTCAGGGTTTCTCAGGGGGTTCCAATCAGATGGTAGCAGGAGCTGGAACAGTGAGGGTTTAAAGCAGCTGAAGGCTGGTCAGCCATGACTCTCTTTCTTTCTCCTGATCTCCTTCCTCCCCTTCCCTCTTTCCCACCTGCTCTGTATAGTATCAGGGCCTGTCCATCTGGTTTCTCAATGGGAGATAGTTTGGATTTCCTCACAGCATGGTGGCCTTAGGGCAGCTAAAGATGTCAAGAGTGAATATTCCAGCAGTGAAAGCAGAGACTGCATGTAGCCTTAGAAGTCATAGAGCTCTGTTGGTTGAAGCAGTCCTAAAAGCCCCCCAAGCCCACCCAGTTTCATGGGGAGAGGATGTAGACCAGCCTCTTGATGGAGGAATATTACAGTCACATGAAGAATGTGTAGGATAGAAATACTCTTGCAGACTCATTTTAGACCCAAAGACACCCCCAGATTTAAAGTGAGGGGGTGGAAAACCATTTACCATGCTAATGGACACCAAAAGAAAGCTGGGGTGGCAATCCTTATATCAGACAAATTAGATTTTAAACCAAAGACTGTAATAAGAGATGAGGAAGGACACTATATTCTACTTAAAGGGTCTATCCAACAAGAAGATCTAACAACTGTAAATATCTATGCCCCTAACATGGGACCAGCCAATTATATAAGGCAATTAATGACAAAAGCAAAGAAACACATCGACAACAATACAATAATAGTGGGGGACTTAACACCCCCTCACTGAAATGGACAGATCGTCTAAGCAAAAGATCAACAAGGAAATAAAGACTTTAAATGACACACTGGACCAAATGGACTTCACAGACATATTCAGAACATTCCATCCCAAAGCAACAGAATACACATTCTTCTCTAGTGCCCATGGAACATTCTCCAGAATCGATCACATCCTAGGTCAGAAATCAGGTCTCAACTGGTACCAAAAGATTGGGATCATTCCCTGCCTGTTTTCAGACCACAGTGCTTTGAAACTAGAACTCAATCACAAGAGGAAAGTCAGAAAGAACTCAAATACATGGAGACTAAAGAGCATCCTACTAAAGAATAAATGGGTCAACCAGGAAATTAAAGAAGAATTAAAAAAATTCGTGGAAACCAAGGAAAATGAAAACACAACTATTCAAAATCTTTGGGATGCAGCAAAGGCAGTCCTAAGAGGAAAGTATATAGCAATACAAGCCTTTCTCAAGAAACAAGAAAGGTCTCAAGTACACAACCTAACCCTCCACCTAAAGGAGCTGGAGAAAGAACAGCAAATAAAGCCTAAACCCAGCAGGAGAAGAGAAATAATAAAGATCAGAGCAGAAATCAATGAAATAGAAACTAAAACAACAGTAGAACAGATCAACGAAACTAGGAGCTGGTTCTTTGAAAGAATTAACAAGATTGATAAACCCCTGGCCAGACTTACCAAAAAGAGAAGACAAATGACCCAAATCAACAAAATCATGAATGAAAGAGGAGAGATCACAACCAACACCAAAGAAATACAAACAATTATAAGAACATATTATGAGCAACTCTATGCCAACAAATTAGATAACCTGGAAGAAATGGAGGCATTCTTAGAGATGTATCAACTACCAAAACTGAACCAGGAAGAAATAGAAAACCTGAACAGACCTATAACCACTAAGGAAATTGAAGCAGTCATTAAAAATCTCCCAAAAAACAAAAGCCCAGGGCCAGATGGCTTCCCAGGGGAATTCTACCAAACATTTAAAGAAGAATTAATACCTATTCTTCTGAAACTGTTCCAAAAAATAGAAATGGAAGGAAAACTTCCAAACTCATTTTATGAGGCCACCATTACCTTGATCCCCAAACCAGACAAAGACCCCATCAAAAAGGAGAACTACAGGCCAATATCCCTGATGAACACGGATGCAAAAATTCTCACCAAAATACTAGCGAATAGGATCCAACAGTACATTAAAAGGATTATTCACCACGACCAAGTGGGATTTATCCCTGGGCTGCAAGGTTGGTTCAACATCCGCAAATCAATCAACGTGATACAATACATTAACAAAAGAAAGAACAAGGATCATATGATCCTCTCAATAGATGCAGAAAAAGCATTTGACAAAGTACAGCATCCTTTCTTGATCAAAACTCTTCAGAGTATAGGCATAGAGGGTACATACCTCAATATCATAAAAACCATCTATGAAAAACCTACAGCGAATATCATTCTCAATGGGGAAAAACTGAGAGCTTTCCCCCTAAGGTCAGGAACGCGGCAGGGATGTCCACTATCACCACTGCTATTCAACATAGTATTGGAAGTCCTAGCCACAGCAATCAGACAACAAAAAGAAATAAAAGGCATCCAAATTGGCAAAGAAGAAGTCAAACTCTCACTCTTTGCAGATGATATGATACTTTATGTGGAAAACCCCAAAGACTCCACTCCAAAACTGCTAGAACTCATACAGGAATTCAGTAAAGTGGCAGGATATAAAATCAATGCACAGAAGTCAGTGGCATTCCTATACACCAACAACAAGACAGAAGAAAGAGAAATTAAGGAGTCGATGCCATTTACAATTGCACCCCAAAACATAAGATGCCTAGGAGTAAATCTAACCAAAGAGGCAAAGGATCTGTACTCAGAAAACTATAAAATACTCATGAAAGAAATTGAGGGAGACACAAAAAAATGGAAAAATGTTCCATGCTCATGGATTGGAAGAACAAATATTGTGAAGATGTCAATGCTACCTAGAGCAATCTACACATTCAGTGCAATCCCCATCAAAATACCATCCACATTTTTTCAAAGAAATGGAACAAATAATCCTAAAATTTGTATGGAACCAGAAAAGACCCCGCATAGCCAGAGGAATGTTGAAAAAGAAAAGCAAAGCCGGCGGCATCACAATTCCGGACTTCCAGCTCTATTACAAAGCTGTCCTCATCAAGACAGTATGGTACTGGCACAAAAACAGACACATAGATCAATGGAAGAGAACAGAGAGCCCAGAAATGGACCCTCAACTCTATGGTCAACTCATCTTTGACAAAGCAGGAAGGAATGTCCAATGGAAAAAAGACAGTCTCTTCAACAAATGGTGTTGGGAAAATTGGATAGCCACATGCAGAAGAATGAAACCGGACCATGTCCTTACACCACACACAAAAATAGACTCCAAATGGTTGAAAAACCTCAATGTGAGACAGGAGTCCATTAAAATCCTAAAGGAGAACACAGGCAGCAACTTCTTCGACCTCAGCCGCAGCAACTTCTTCCTAGAAACATCGCCAAAGGCAAGGGAAGCAAGGGCAAAAATGAACTATTGGGACTTCATCAAGATAAAAGGCTTTTGCACAGCAAAAGAAACAGTCAACAAAACCAAAAGACAACCTACAGAATAGGCAAAGATATTTGCAAATGACATATCAGATAAAGGGCTAGTATCCAAAATCTATAAAGAACTTATCAAACTCAACACCCAAAGAACAAAGAATCCAGTCAAGAAATGGGCGGAAGACATGAGCAGACATTTTTCCAAAGAAGACATCCAAATGGCCAACAGACACATTAAAAAGAGCTCAATATCGCTCGGCATCAGGGAAATCCAAATCAAAACCTCAATGAGATACCACCTCACACTAGTCAGAATGGCTAAAATTAACAAGTCAGGAAATGACAGATGTTGGCAGGGATGCGGAGAAAGGGGAACCCTCCTACACTGTTGGTGGGAATGCAAGCTGGTGCAGCCACTCTGGAAAACAGTATGGAGGTTCCTCAAAAAGTTGAAAATAGAGCTACCTTATGATCCAGCAATTGCACTACTGGGTATTTACCCCAAAGATACAAAAGTAGGGATCCGAAAGGGTACGTGCACCCCGATGTTTATAGCAGCAATGTCCACAATAGCCAAACTGTGGAAAGAGCCAAGATGTCCATCGGCAGATGAATGGATAAAGAAGATGTGGTATATATATACAACGGAATATTATGCAGCCATCAAAAGGAGTGAGATCTTGCCATTTGCAACGACATGGATGGAACTGGAGGGTATTATGTTGAGCGAAATAAGTCAAACAGAGAAAGACATGTATTATATGACCTCACTGATATGAGGAATTCTTAATCTCAGGAAACAAACTGAGGGTTGCTAGAGTGGGGAGTGGGGTGGGAAGGATGGGGTGACTGAGTGATAGACACTGGGGAGGGTATGTGCTCTGGTAAGCGCTGTGAATTGTGCAAGACTGTTGAATCTCAGATCTGTACCTCTGAAACAAATAATGCAATATATGTTAAGAAAAAAAAAAGAAGAAGAAGATAGCAGGAGGGGAAGAATGAAGGGGGGGAAATCGGAGGGGTAGACGAACCATGAGAGATGATGGACTCTGAAAAACAAACTGAGGGTTCTAGAGGGGAGGGGGGTGGGAGGATGGGTTAGCCTGGTGATGGGTATTGAGGAGGGCACATTCTGCATGGAGCACTGGGTGTTATGCACAAACAATGAATCATGAAACACTACATCTAAAACTAATGATGTAATGTATGGGGATTAACATAACAATAAAAAAATAATAAAAGTAAAAAAAAAAAAAAAGGAAAAAAAAGGAAATACTCTTGCAGCCGGCTCCGATCATAGGCCCTGCAGGTCACTGCTGTAGAGCTCCCCACTGTGCTCCAGCCTTTCTCCTTTCCTCTGGGCTTGCTAGCTGCAGCCTGAGCGCATTTCCTCTCCTGGTGATGGGTCTTTTCTCTCTGGCTGTTCTTAATATCTTTTTTTCCTTTTGGTATTCTGCATTTCATTATGATGGTCATATGTATGATTTTTTTTTTCATTCTGTTGTGCTTGGGAATTTGGGGCCTTTCTGTATTTGGGGATGGGTGTCTTTTAGTAACTTTGGGAAATTCTTACCATTTATCACTTTGAATTTTGCCTCATCCCCATTATCGCCTTCTGGACATAATTCCTTTGGAAGATAGCTAAATATTTTTAACAGAAGCATTTATATTTTTCATCTGTTTGTATCTCTGGATTCCATTCTGCATAATTTCTTTGATTCTATGTTTAAATAATTTTTAAGCTGTATCTAATATGTTGATAAATTAGTCCCCAGTAAGCATTCCATCTCTGGTACTCTCTGTGGTGCACTGTGGTGCAGTGTGTGTGTGTGTGTGTGTGTGTGTGTGTGTGTGTGTGTGTATAGGGGGGCATTACAGAGGCTAAGAGCATCAGCTTTGAAATTAGACTGCCCGGCTCAGTAATGTTAGATGCATCTGTCATTACTGTTGGCTACTCTATCAGGCTGCCCCTTTGCTCTGTACCACTTCCAGTTTTTCTTCCTGGCTTTCTTTTACTTAGTCCACAATACAGGAATTTATCAGCATCTCTTTTCCTTCCATGTATTACAAAAGAATACACCAAAGCTCTTTTAATGTTTCAGGAGTGGAGTAATGCCAGGAAAACAACATTGTTTAAATATAGAAACATAAAGAAATTTATGGAGTCGGAAGAGATATTAAACATTAATCACTAGGTGTTCCCTAGTTTTTATACAAAGGCAGTAGTTAGACTTGCTCCCTTGGGTTGAGCCATAGTCCTTTTCCAATCCTGTCTTTCTAGAAATGAGCATCACTAAATTATTCTCTCACACAGTCTTTATTTTGGAGCTTTTGACCTTGTGCTTTCCTAAGCCTTAAAAGAAGAACTTTTGTGTTTGGTCTTATCCCACTGGAAAGTGAATGACAGAGACCAATTATGGTGGATGTTTGGGACTCCCACGTCTTCAGTGAGTTAATAGTAAACACATCACTGGGTTGTTAAGAAGTTTATATGAATTAGTATATATACTCTTAGAAGAGAGCTTCACACACAGTGAGTTCTGCATTAGGAGCTTGATAGTACAATAATTAATTTTCCTAATAATTCCTTAAATTTATTTTATATTTTTCTAAGTCCATGTATTGTCTACATTATCCTGTTTGATCCAATTTTCTCCTTCATAAAGGAGGAAATCGAGGTCTAGAGAGAGCAAATGATTTATAAAGCCCATAAAACTGATGAGTTACAGAGCCAGTACTCACAGCCTGATTCTGGAGTCTGCATCTCCTGAATCGGAGGTTGCTGCTGCTAGTAATAGTAACAAGAATAGAAAAATATATAAAATAGTGGCTCTCCCTGACATCACTATTTGCTCAGCTTTCTGGAGGTGATGTCATCTCAGTTTGTACAGGAGAATCATGTGACATCTTTCTATATGATATATGTGTTTGTAGAGAGCTCTCCTAGGAGGTGGAGGTAGACTTAACACAGGTAATAGGGTGGGTTTTTTTTCTCTCTAACATGCTTTTTCACTTCCCTTTCCTTCCTTCACTTTGCTGTCCATTTCATTTGATTATTTTCCTGTAAAACTACCTGCTTTTCTCTTAGCTTCCGGCAAGGATATGTGAGCAGATTTGTTCCATCATCTTGGAGACTAGACCCTGTGTGTGGTGAAAGAGAATTCCCCTATATCCTAACCTCTGAGTTGAGGCAGCTCTCTCTGTGTGAGGTCTGGAGCAGTCCAAAGGTGACCTTGTCCCTTCCCTTGCTTGAAACCCTTCATTATGTTTCCTGTGCTCTCAGGTTATGGACCACAATGTGCATGATCTGGCTCTTGATTCCCTCAGACTCTTTCATGCCAGTCTGCCTTTTGCTTTGGGATTGAGCCATATTGGCTGGCTTTCAATTCCTCCCAGGCTCCGTGGACCCTGACCACAGGACCTTTCCACCTGCTATTCTCTACCCCCTAAAAAACACAGTAGATGTAAGGCTTGTGAATATAAACCATCTCTTGCTAGGTCTTCTGTATTTTGTGTGGTATTGTGATACTAGGGGGTGGTTAAGTTTTACCATAAGCAGTCACATTTCCTATTTCAACAAATTAGGCATGTTTGCTAGTTTTCCCCCTTGTTTAGAGAAAAAGATTGGCAAAGGCAGGAGAAACATGAACCCTAAATTCCTTCATGGGAAAAAGAGAAGAAATCAGGAAGAGAAACCCCTATGTTTTTAGGCAATAAAAGAGCACTATGTGATGAGACTGTTGGATTACCTTTGTACAATGGGATACTACTCAGCAGTAAAAAGAAACAAACTCTTGATTTGCACAACATAGGTGAATTGCAAAAGAATTGTGCCAAGTCAAAGAAGTCAGAAATAAAAGGGCACATACTGTGTGATTCCATTTATATGAAATTATAGAATATGCAAATTAATCTGTATGATAAGAAAGCAGATTCAGTATTTGCCTGAGGCTGAACTGGGTGAAGGGATGGAATTCGAAGGACAAGGAAACTTCTGAGGGTGATGGAAATGTTCATTAGCTTGATTGTGGTGTTGATTTTATGGAGAGATACAGAAGTTAAAACTCATAAATTGACATGTACAGTTTATATACATTAGCTACACTGTCATAAAGCTGTTAAAAACCTATTTATTGAGCATATCCTCTGTTCTGGGGCCTATTTGGGCTCTGGGAACACAGGAATCAGCAAGAAAAGACACAGTCCCTGCCCTCGGGAGCTTGGAGTATAATGAGGAGGGAGACATGATTGAAATCATCACCCTCATCAAGGGACAATTCCAGCTACGATGGTGCTATGTGAACATGTCTTGGGGATATTTGACCTGGTCCAGGAAGGCCTTCCTGAAAAAGTGAAGGCAGTGAAACGTAGAAACTCAGAGTTGGGAGGAGACTGCAGGTCATCTGGTTTAACCCTTATCAACCCTGCAAATTAGGGGCACCTGGGTGGCTCAGTCAGTTGTGTCCAACTCTTGGTTTGGGCTCAGGTCATGATCTCAGGGTCATGAGATCGAGCCCCCCACTGGGCACTGTGCTCAGTGAGGAGTCTGCTTGTCCCTCTCCCTCCCCCTCTGGCTCCCCCTCTGCCAGTCTGCTTTCGTGTGCATGCTCTCTCTCAAATAAATTAATTAAAAACAAACCCAGCAAATTAAACCTGTTTCAAACATTATCAACAAGAGTTTATGTAGCATGGGTTGATGCTGTACCATCATGATGTGCTAGAACTAAATTAAAACTAGAGATGTTTGGCTTGAAGTATAACTTGGTTTATAGGTTTTAGCTTCGTGAGGCTTGTGGCTGAGGGAAGGTTTTTGATCAACATTCCACCTTCCTGTGGGTCATGAACACTCAGGCTTGAGAAGATGGAATAATCACTCCTGTTGATGTGGCACGTTTGTGGTTTGCTGGAGAGGCACATAGCATAGCCCATGTTCAGGCCTCATCTTGATAGTGTGTATGCTCCCAACAGGGAGAAGATGAATCCGTCACCCTGAAATCCTGCACCCGGCGGAAAACAGATTCTATCGAGAAGAGGTTTTGCTTTGATGTAGAAGCAGTAGACAGGTGAGTAGCTGTCACACTTTGCTCAAGAACAGATATTACTAAATTTGGATTTTTTACCTTTTCCATTTAGTCGGGGCTTTTCTGTCCTTGATCTCACCCTACCCCTCCTTTTCCAGATACTCAGTTTGGAATAGACCTCGGGCCAGTTGCTGGTCTGCAAGGATCAGCATAGCTTCTCCCCTCTTGTAGGTTCAGTGATGAGCCTCTGGTTTGGTTTGCTTGAACGTTAGGGCTTTCTGAGAAGTAATGTGTGTTATCTTAGGAGGTTGAGTAGATGTTTAAAGAAAACTGCTTAGCATGATTATATGAACTATTTGAGATTTTTTACTTTAAAAGTATTTAATTTTTTTAAATTTAAAAAGTGGTCCAAAAGGAATGGGGTAAAGTGAAGGATGGAACAAGTTGTACTCATTTAAAAAAAGATAGCTTTTAGTTGTAGCATTTCCCCTACCACTGTGTGTAATGCACCAGGAAAGACAGCAAACCACTTGTAAAATCACTTTTTGCAGAGGGAGCTGCGTGTTGTAGTCCTCAATATTTATGGAGTCTCATTAAGTTGTACCATTTCATGGTGTTAAGCTAGTTTGACAACATTCCAATTCTTTGAAACACTGTACTTGGCAACAGGTTAATTCCTTGAGTGAAAGCCACATGTTAAGTGTATCTGTGCTGTCTGTTCAAGATCAGCAGTGCCAGCATTAAAGATCCTTAAATCTCAGGATGATTCTCCTATAATGCCATTTCTCCCTTTATTCCAACACACACACACACACACACACACACCGCTTTGTGAAGTCAATACTTCTGCCTTTCTGGGACATTGACTTAGGGCTACTTTTTCCTGATTCTAGAAGATGGAGAGACTGTGAGTGCCTTCTGGGGTGTTGGCAGGTTTGGAATGCCTTCTTGTGCCCTGATGTTTCCCTGCACTGTGACTACTGGAGGCTGCTTGAGCTCCCGTAGGGGGAGCATGCCCTGCTTTAATCAGGAATTCATGGAAACTACCTCATCTCTTCAGCACTTAGTCATTATACCTTGGACTCTCAAGTTAGGCAGCCAGGGTCTAAATTTGGACTTTGCTGCTTCGTAGCCATGTGACTTTCAGCTATAACTACTTAATCTCTCAGGGCCTCGATTTCCTTATCTGGAAAATGGAGATAGTAATAGTACCTAGTTCCTAGAATTCTAAGGATTCAAGGAGATAATGCACGTAAAACGCTTGGCAGGATGGCAAATAATAAATGCTTAGCAAGTGTTAGCTGTTACTTGTTAATTAGCTTGTCCTGCACGTTCACCAGACTTGATTATTTTGTAAGGTTAGACTCTAAATGATGAGAAGTAAGCATAATTTGTAAAGAAAAGAGAATACCCCAGTTCTTCACCATGTGTGGGGATGTGGGAGGGTAATAGGGAAGGGGTGCATGAGGACATAGGTTGAACTAAGGTAGCATAGGGGAATTGCAAAATGTCTGCCTCACACCAAAATTTGTTATTCTTGGTTTTAAACAAATCCTAACTCAGGATGCTTTAAGTACCTGTATGCGTCTCTGTTCTCAGTATGGAATCTAAGGGAATTCATATTGTTGGCATCCATTAAAGAGGTGGAGAAGACGGGTATGTTTAAAAGCAGAGTTAGTTGTTTGATGCTTGTCATCTGTTTCTAGAGACTATTGTCTCTTTGTATGGTTATTTGGAAGAAGGTGTGCCTCACATTGCAGCTGTCCCTTATTTGAAAACCAGTTCAGAGATGATTTCTGAAGCTGAATCGTTTCCTGTTTTCTTCCTCAGAAGTTTTCCCAGAAGTTTTAGAGAGTTGCTTTTTAGGCAATTAAAACTCAACGTGGTGCCTCCGTCTCATTTCCACCTTGCAAATACTTCCATTTTTCCCCTTGATTATACCCTTGAAAGCTTTGCAAGTCCCAATTATAAGCTGAGAGCTTATAGAAGGTGTCACATGGAACATACTGAGTGGGTTTGGGAAGTGGATTTCTCCTAAGTTGCTCTCTCTGGTTCCCTGGGGATGACACGGAGGGGTTTCAGTAGGGGTTCAGAAAGAGGCTGCTAAATTTCCTCTTGGTAAGCAGGAAGTGAGTAGCCAGTTCTGTTGTATTGCTTGTATTTTAAATTTTCTGTATATTGTGGTGTTGGGACACCTTAAAAACCTTTCTATCTGGGGAGAGACTGTCCCTTCCAGAGCTACTAATTCTTAGAGATCAAAGGGCACAGCCTGGAGGGTGCCATTGACATGCAAATTAACCAACCCAGAACCAGACCTCCTCCACCAGGCCCTTAATCCCCAGGAGGCAATATTCCTCTGCTTTAATCATCTGAGGTCCAGGCACCAGGCGAGGAGGGCCACTTCTAAGCTTAGAACCCCCTGAAATTATTCAAACTAGCCAGTAAACTGTTGACCCTGCCCTGCTTTGCCTTTCCCTTGGAAACTCCAATAAGAGCCACCACCTAGGCTCTCGCATCACTTCTGCTACTCTAACAAGTAGCCCCATGGGTGCTGGCTCTTTCCCACATGGCCCTGTTAGGTATGCCATGTGTGCATCCTGTTTCTAGGACCTGGGAGTTTAAGAAACTTTGTTTTCTGAGCTTGAGTGTCTTCTGTGTCTCCTGTCTGTCACCTAAAATAACACAGAACATGTACGAAACACTTCTTTGTTTTTTATATAGGTCATTATCTTTGATCTCAAAGACTAGGTTACAGTTGGGAAGCATTTTTCCTTATCTGTCTCCTGTTTTGACTTAGTGTCTTTCTGCATTTTTCTTACCATCCAGGAAGGTACTAAGGAGAGAAGGAAAAGCATTTCCATGGGTTCATTGGCAACATTCCTGGGGAACTCTGCCCAGAGTCCTCTCCTCTGGAAGATTCCTACACCTTGATTTTTCTCCAGTGTGCTTTAGCAAGGAATTGATTCCTGTGGCCTTTCCAACCTGTGCCTTACTCAGATTTCTCAGCTGTACCTGAATGGCTAGAGAGGTATAGGGACAAAATGCAAGTGTAGCACCTAGGAAATGTGGAAATAAAAGAGGAAATGGTTATATTTATAAATGTTTATGTAGTGACTATTAATGTTTTACTCTGTTAAGGTATACATACATGCTAAAGTAGTATTTTTTGACTTAGAATATATGACATGGTGGGTTTTTAGGGTTATTCTGAATACTTACATCTTTTAGATTTAGTGCTGATATTTTATGTTATTTTTTAACAGAGGCTATAGCCTTTAGGAAGTGATATTCCAGCAGGTCAGTATTTTTGAGTTGATTACATCAGCATGTCTTACTGTGTGGTGAGAACCACCTGTACTCAGCATCCACAGGGGTGCTTGTTAGAACTACAACTTCTTGGCTCTGCCCCAGACCTACACAGTCCGTCTGACTTTCCTGGAGGGAGACTCTGAAGTTCACTTTTGGAACAGGCTCTTCATTTGTCTTTTATTCTCACTAATAATTGGTGCATTAAACACCATGCCTATCACAATACAGATTTTTCAGAGTATAAAAATGTTTCCTTATTAAAAACATTGTAACAAGGAACAACAGTAAAACAAACTCAAAAAAATGAGGCTTCTTTAGGAAGGAGCTTAGTTCTTAACCCACATGGAGAAGAATATAGCTAGTAGAAAAGGTGATTTCCAGCCTCTGATAACAGATGACCAGGAAAAAAGCAACAGCAGAAACCATCATAAAACTCACTTAAGTTAAAGGTGGAGGAGGGGTGAGGGAAGCAGCAGTAAGAGAACACTTTCTAGAAGCTGAAAGCTGTTCATACATTCTCATGTTATCCTCACTACAGTCCAAGGAGGATTCTGCTCCAATTAATCCACGTTACTGGTGAGGAATCTGTAGTTCAGAGGTGTGAGTCTTCCCCCGGGCTCAGGAGGGATTTGAACTGAGGTGCATGGGCGCTCACCACAGGGCACCTTGCTGCCTCAAAACTGAGGATATGTTAGAAACGTTTCCAGCGTTAAGCCCAGCACTGTGGGTACTTGGGTTTCAGAGATACCATTGAGTGTTCAGCTTGCTGATGTGAAATCTGAGAAGTGCTTTCTCACTGTAATCATTTGCATGTGGCATCATAAACAAATGGATGAACTAACGCTGCAAACTAGCTTCTGTTCTTATATTTACTGCCTTGTGACTTCCAGAAAATCCTCACGTGGCTAACAGTTTAAAGAGGCAGTGCAGATAGAGCACAGACGCCAGGCACGTCGCATACAGGTGTCCCATGAATGCTATTTTTGGCGGGTACACCTCTTCTCCCTTTTATTTTTAAGGTGACACTCATTTCTGTTTCTCTAGGTAGACTAGCATGAGTCAGAAAGCAACAGTGTCATTTATCAGTTGATTTCATTGTATCCCAATGCATTGCTGTTTATTTGTTCCTCCTGAAATCCTGATGAAAAGGGGTTAATCTCTGACATTTACATTCTAAAGGAAGAAGTGCTGTGACTCTTTGACCCATGAACAAGCTGGAAATCAAATTAACTGTTAATTCAGAGGTATGGGATTTAGATCCATAGTTCTTGAATTTTGTGTCCAAGGTTCTCTGTAAACTGAATACATTTCAGAAATCTACTTTTAATTCTTGTATCTAATTGCTTTTCTTTTGATATCTCTACTAGGCCTATAGTCTCTTCTCAGTATCTTACACCCTTCTATAGTAACTTTACATAATTACCTAATTCCACATAATCATCTTATCTGTCCCTTATTCTCTAGTGCCTTTCTTTGATTCCTTTTCTCAGAACTAGTTTTGGGGGGAGGTTCAGACCCGAGGATTTGTTGAAGACCACTGGACTATTCTGAGTAAATATGTCACAGGCTGATGTTTTCATGTCTTTGGCTTTCCTTCAAAAGGGTTTTATTGTTACCAACATTGAAAAGTTAACATTAGTAGAAACTCTGGTTTCTTTCTTCAATTCCAAAGTGAAAAGTTGTTTAGGTCAAGATATCATGTCCATTAAATCAATGTGATACTGCTTTGAATT